GTATCTGTTTAGAGGAAATTCTGGTTTTTGAAATTATAGTTCTTATTACCACACATGTAGTAAAAATTACAAAACTGAAAAGTAAATTTTACCGAATAAATGATTTTTTTTTGTCATACTCTAAGATATCATTAAAAATTCAAATATTACCCCATTGTTATTCATTTTACCAAAATCATTACCAAAGCGCTTCAATGAAAATCATCTAGAATTTTGATTTTTCTAGAGAGTCAGAAACACGGTAAATTTTTCAATATTCTGGTAATTTTGACTATACTATTTTTCCAGTATAGCACTTTGTGTGCTTGATTGCTTAATTGAACAAAATATTAGTATAATTAAAGCTCAATATGATGCAAACCATGCGAAGCTAAATTTGGAAAAGTAAATGAGTTCACGATATTCTTTCTAATTCACGGTATTCTCATCATCAATTCTTTGTAATTATTGCAAGTTGCCAATGTGATTGTTTAATTGAGAGAAATATTCATCTAGTTAAGACAAAATATAATGTAAATAATGAGGAGCTAGTCCCTTATGTTTCGAACAAATAAAGTAGAGTAATTCACGATTCTCTTTCTAATTCACGGTTTTCTCATCATCAATTCTTTATAATTATTGCAAGTTGCCAACGTGATTGTTTAATTTAGAGAAATATTAATCTAGTTAAGGCAAAATATATTGTAAATCATGAATGGCTAGCCCGTTATGTTTTGAAGAAATAAAGCAGAGTAATTCACGATTTTCTTTCTAATTCACGGTTTTCTCATCATCAATTCTTTATAATTATTGCAAGTTGCCAACGTGATTGTTTAATTTAGAGAAATATTCATCTAGTTAAGGCAAAATATATTGTAAATCATGAAAGGCTAGCCCGTTATGTTTTGAAGAAATAAAGTAGAGTAATGCCCGATATTCTTTCTAATTCACGGTTTTCTCATCATCAATTATTTGCATTTATTGCAAGTTGCCAACGTGATTGTTTAATTTAGAGAAATATTAATCTAGTTAAGGCAAAATATAGTGTAAATCATGAAAAACTAGCCCGTTATATTTTGAAGAAATAAAGTAGAGTAATTCACGATATTCTTTCCAATTCACGGTTTTCTCATCATCAATTCTTTGTATTTATTGCAAGTTGCCAACTTAATTGCTTAATTTAGAGAAATATTAATCTAATTAAGGCTAAATATAATGCACATCATGAAAATCTAGCAAGTTATGTTTTAAAGAAATAAAGTAGAGTAATTCACGATATTCTCTGCAATAAAAGTAAATGCAGTGAGAATAAACCTATAGTAAGAATCATAACCCGTTTAAAATGTTTGAAGGTAGGTAAAAAAATTTTTTAGCTTGCTTAAAGTCAGACAAAATGTTCAGGTCTAATTCAATTTCTAAAAACTGTAATATTATAATTATAAAAAAGGTAAACTGTTAAAAATTTTGTTCCGTATTGAACAAAAGAATATTGGGCAAATTTTCTGCAACCTTGATATAGTGCAAAATTGATATGGTGCCCCTCAATTATTATTCAAATTACACCATCTTACCCTTGCTTATACAATGTTTGCAATCAACTTGAATGTAAAACTCTTGTTGAGTGTTACACTGCATCAATATTATTGCAAACTAGCTTTACACTATGATTGAAGATTTAAGCATTATTTTTTAGAGTGTATGATGTTATATTTTGGTTCAACACCCAATTTTAAGATGGCACTATGGACAAATCGGGAAGGGACTGAAACAATTGTTCGGTGTTCGAAAGTGCTGAGAGTTCGGTTGAAATTTCACACAAAAAGTGTAAAAAATGTTTAATTAAATTTTTTTTTAAAAGTTAGCTATTACTTTAAAAAAATATTTATATATATTTATAATGTTCCTCTATTTCAGTGTGAAAATACTTTTTATTAAGTTTATACAAGCGATTTACAGGGGGAAATGTTGTACCTTTTCTTTCTGTTCCACTTTGAAAAAATGGAAAAATAAATTATTCAAAAACTGAAATACATATTATGAAACAAAATTTGAGCAAAATTGATAGTTTCTTAGAAATTGAATTTCAAAAAAGATATATATTTCAAATTCGATTTCTCAGAAGCTACTTCATTGATATAGCTCAAATTTTGCATATTGCTATGCAAAATTATATGCCTTAAAATAATGCAAAAGATTATATACTTTGCAATTCAAAATTTTTTCGTTCAATAAAACATTAAAAAACAATGAATATTTACGTTATTTTTTGCATGGAATTTTCTTTAAATAAATGAATTTTATGATTGTATGCAAAAATGTTTCAATTCACTTACAAAAGTTCGCGAGATATAGTGAAAGTAGTGATATAGTAAAAGTAGTGATATAGTAAAAGTAAAATTAACATTGGTGAATCTCGGAGGAGTAGAAAACACCAACCCATGATTGGTACAAGAGATCAAAACCGGGTTTGTCCCTTGACCTCCCGTGTGACAGACGTACCCGGACTGTTCTATCAAGGCTTGCTAGCGGTCACATCAAGGGCCTCACTTTCAACGAGGGCAGGAAAACCTTCGTCACCTGCACCAAGTGCCAAATTCATCAGGCTTCTCCTGAGCACCTCTTGGATTGCATGGGACTCTCTAAGGAGGATCTCTTTAGCAATCATGTCCTAGTCTCCGACTTCCTTTCAGACAATGAACTCGTGGATCTTGTCTGACTCCGTCAGACAGAGAGGATAAGCAACAACAACAATAAAATTAACATTAAGCGGTCCTAACTTTGAAGCGAACTAAGGGGACCATATTTCCCAGATTGCGGCTACCCCCTATAATTTTGAAAGTCAGAAATATGAATTCATCGAAAAAAAGGTATGTTTATTCAGAGAAAGTACGCTTTTGCTTCGTATTTCCTAACTTAAAATATAGTCTGCCCTAAATAATTAGCATATTTGAAGTTACCTCCTCGAACCATAAAGACTGAGTGAACAAACGTGAATCATTAGATCAAAAGTTATTCAAAGCTTTTTTCTTTTGCTCACTGTACATTAATATTAAACTAAAATTACTTTCTTTTGGGAATTTTTGTAAAAGAAATTGAGTAATACGCAAACTAGTACACTTTTTAGATAATCTGAATAGAATATCTTTAAACAATTATGTGGAGAATTTCTGCCATAGAAGGCGATGCCTTGGGCACCACTAACACATTACATAACTTACTATTTTCAAATGCAAAATATTTGCGTATATTACGTCATTTGATGAAGAAAGCATATTTCACCTGTCTTTTTTTAAGCAAGTTTTCTCTTTTCACGCTTAAAGCCAAACAAACATCAGAAAAAAGGATATAAGCTAACAATCATATTGGTAAACCTTGAACTCTGTCAAAACGAACCAAGTCCTCCAAAGAAAAAGTTAACTTATTTTTCGCATTTGCAAACTTAATCTTTGTTTAGTAATTCTTATTTTATAATTATACAGTGCATCATAAAAAACTTATGGATGAAACTCAAAATTTAAAATCATGTATAAAGATTATTGTCAAATTTAAAATTAGATCCTAATATTTAACCTAATATTTAATTATTTTGCTCAAAAAGTAAATTTTAATTATTTTTTCAATAATAAATGTAAAATAAGTTTGAGTAATGAAGTTTACAATTGGGTATTTGCATTTCAAGAAGAAGAAGATCACAGACACCCATACATGTGACATATGACGTCAGCTCTTGCTCTTTATAATCGTGTTAAGCGTCTTAAAGTTCAGCTAAGTTTCTTCACATTAAATTAGAATGTTAATTAACGTAAAGTTAATTAAATACAACACCGTATCGTGCATCGAATTTGTTGAAATATAATTCTTTCTCGGCGTCTTCTTTTACTTAACTTAGATTTATTATTCGTTTATGTGTCTTATTGTAACCATGATATATTTTTGTATCACGGTTACAATAAAGCATGGCTTCGTGCCTGCCTTTGTGTTAAGAAATATCTAGTGAAAAAATTGAAATCCTTATGAAAGATCTTTGTGTAAGAATATTGAATGTGTCAGAGAGTTGATATTTTTTCGGACTTGGCTTTCGAAATAGAATGGAAAGAACAGTTGCTAACGTAAACAAATGCCACGTTTCAACAACCAATACCCACAGTACGTCACTTGCATTTATCCCATTGTAAAGTTTATAATTGTTGAAAATTGAAAACGAGATGTGTTTTATTTTTTCTATACTAAGAACTTTAGAATTGAAATTTTATATTTTGCACTGCTAAAACCTTATTGCTGTTGTTGTAGAAAACAAAAATACAGCACATTTTAAAATAGGAAAGTAAACTTTGGAGCTTACGATTCGATAAACTGTCCATTCTTAGAAATCATTTCATTTTTAAGATTATAAAGTTTTCAGCTTTGAATAACATGACATGACAAGACTAAACTCGAATTTTTCTGAAACATGTGCATGACATGTTATAAACCCTTTTATTGCAAATTTGTAAATTGAGAAAAATCGGAAAGCTTATTTCAACTCATCTTAAATACAAATACAGAATTCTAACATAAAGGAACAGCCTTAATAACATTTCGCTGCAGATCGTATTCTACAAAAGCAAGCTGACCCATCATGGTCCAGGCTGTCCACTCATTTCAAGGTTGAAATAACACGCGAGCAAAATAACGTCGTACAGTGGACAAGTGAAGCCGGAAGGATGACCTGTTCTACGCCATTCAATTTTTCTCCCGAAATTTCTATTTGTTTCCGGTTTTTGGTTTGTTATTGGAAAATAAAAATGCATTATTGTTTTTCGATGTTTGTAAACAAATCAACCTATACCTCGTATGTGTACTCTTCACTCATTCAAGGCTCTGTGCAAATGCAGGAAATTATGAATCAAGTTCATAAACGACAGAAAAAAAATGGAATTATGGCCCTTGAAATTCTTTGTTTCGAAATGAGATACTGAAATAATAATTGATGTAACATTTTTATTCGTGTAAAACTAATGAATGTAAATGTTTTGTTTCAGGAACCACTCATGTATCCAGGCTGGGCTGGAACTCTGGACGCCAGAGATTACAGATCAGTCTGTCCACAGATTGACCTTCAAGGTCGTGTAAAGGGAAATGAGGATTGTTTGTTTATCAATGTGTTCACCCCCAATATACCTGTGAGTCTTTTTTTTTATCGAAAACCAAAAATGAAAGTTTTAATTATGACAATACAAACATGATTTCTCTGTAAGAAACATTGAAATAAAATCTCGCCACAACAGCACTGTAAAGAATTCTGGATAAAACTACGGTAAAAAGTACTCGAAACCCGAGTGCAGCAACCATAAAATCCATTATTTACTGTAAAATTCCATACTGTTACATTTACAGTAATATTTAATAATAGAATTCTGCCATTTTGAATTAAATAGTACAATAAAAACTGCAATATATAAGATTTTTGATTCATAAAATTTAATTTTATGATTCTGTAAAATTTTATACTGTTACATTTACAGTAATATTTATTTAATGATAGGATTTTGCAATTTTGAATTAAATAGTACAGTAAAAACTGCAATATATCAGATTTTTGATTCATGAAATTTTACGGTAAAGCGCACCAGAACTCAGGATGCACGCACTTTTCCTCATAATTTGATCCGGAAATTTTTACAGTTGGAAATCGAAAATGACCGACGCACTGTTGGTTGAATCACAAGTTGTCCCTGCAAATTTAGATCATATTTTGTTTCGGGATCAGAATTAATTTGTTAAAAGTCTCGATAAAGCACTCACACCCTACATAAATGGCGAAGGTCAATTCTGGATATACCTTATTGATTCGATTACAACGATTTCAGTGTTAATAAGAATTATCCTCACGCAGGGCTATAGTGCTTTGAGACTGAGAGTGATGACATACAGCTGGCTATATTTGTTTGGAGAATGAAAAATGTCAACCACCGTAGGATATTGAAAATATCCTCCTTCAAAGTTGTCATTATGAGAATCATCAATATCTCGAAATCTGATTTAGATAGAATTTTTTTTATTTCATTTCTGAAAAAAAAAACTGGCCTATTGGAAAACTTGCCCTTACTCCCTATATCCAGGTACTCTATGCAAGACGGATTAGAGTTCAATCGCTGTCGTTATTATCATGTGTTTGGCCTTCTTCTCAAATGCGGGATCATCAAAGAACAATCGACAAACAATCCATTTTTTTCCCGCACACTTTTGGTTTTCTGATTTGGGTTCAGGATTACGCGATTATGTGAAGAATAGATTGCGTTAGGTAACACGATTACGTCAGGTAATCGGTGCGATTACGTGAATTAGTACCTGAGGAATAGGAGTCTGAATGTACATTCGAAAAATGGATGGGCTATTCAATGTTAGATTCGGCAAATGCTTCGGCTATTCAATGCGTTTGGATTATAAAAAAAAACTGTTAAATGGACTTTGGGTGAAATGAATAAAATATTATCAATTCTCACTTGCTTAGTATTTCAGATTTTTTTAAAAAGAAAACTCTTGTCAAGACATTTTGCTTTATGGTTTTTATCATGACATTTTTTCCTCCATTTTCCTCANGTTGTCCCTGCAAATTTAGATCATATTTTGTTTCGGGATCAGAATTAATTTGTTAAAAGTCTCGATAAAGCACTCACACCCTACATAAATGGCGAAGGTCAATTCTGGATATACCTTATTGATTCGATTACAACGATTTCAGTGTTAATAAGAATTATCCTCACGCAGGGCTATAGTGCTTTGAGACTGAGAGTGATGACATACAGCTGGCTATATTTGTTTGGAGAATGGAAAATTTCAACCACCGTAGGATATTGAAAATATTCTCCTTCAAAGTTGTCATTATGAGAATCATCAATATCTCGAAATCTGATTTAGATAGAATTTTTTTTTATTTCATTTCTGAAAAAGAAACTGGCCTATTGGAAAACTTGCCCTTACTCCCAATATCAAGGTACTCTATGCAAGACGGATTAGAGATCAATCGCTGTCGTTATTATCATGTGTTTGACTTTCTTCTACATGCAACACAAATGCGAAATCATCGATGAACAATCGGCAAACAATCTATTTTTTTTCCCGCACACTTTTGGTTTTCTGATTTGGGCTCAGGATTACGCGATTATGTGAAGAATAGATTACGTCAGGTAATCGCTCCGATTACGTGAATAATTACCTGAGGAATAGGAGTCTGAATGTACATTCGACAAATGGATGGGCTATTCAATGTTAGATTCGGAAAATGCTTCGGCTATTCAATGCGTTTGGATTAAAAAAAACTGTTAAATGGACTTTGGGTGAAATGAGTAAAATATTGTCGATTCTCACTTGCTTAGTATTTCAGATTTTTTAAAAAGAAGACTCTTGTCGAGACATTTTGTTTTATGGTTTTCACCATGATATTTTTTCCTATATTTTCCTCGCATCGTCAGATGAACAGCTAAGCAGTTTTTACATATATAAGGGAATTTGAAGTGAGAAAAAAATAAGCCAAACTTGAAAAGGCATTTCTAAAATTAAAATAATAGTTTTATATCACAGTTAGTCGGAACATATTTAGTTCCATAAAAAAATATAAATAAATAAAATAAATTTAAAAATTTTTTTACGGAGTTTCTCATTAAAATTGGATTATACTTATTTTTTTGAAGTTTACCCATTTATATATAAAAGCAAGCTTTGATCGTAAAAGAATGTTTACCTTCTACGAAAGTTTCTTTTGTTGGGAAATTGTATGTTAATTTAACGTTAAAAAAATGATTATCTAGCTTATGCCGTTAAAAACTGCACTAGTTAAGTTTTACTACAATCTGCCTTAGAGTCTGCTGCAAGTTGTAGGACACTAAACTACTCGGTTTATAACAAAAGGTCTAGTAAATTTGTTGAGGTATTCCAGTGGTTCCCAAAATGCTCCGTAATCAATGTTGAGATCAATGCAGTGAAAATATGATATAGTATTTTCACTGAATGCAATATGTAAGTATAATATTTTCACTAAATTGACATTTAAATTAATAAAACAGCATGTTTTAGATTATTTTAATTTTGGCGAGTGGATTTATGGATTTTTTGTTCTTTTTTTTAAAAGGATTTTGAAAATATTAATTAAGGGGCGTTGATTACGGATAACCAAGAATTTTCTTTTGTTGGATACCTGAAATTAATAAGAGATCCAATAATTTTAACGTTTGTTACAAGTTTCTTTGTGTGAAACATTATTTCTCATCCACCAATGCTAATTTTATTTAACCTTTAGGCTACAGGATCATTTTCATCTGTCACTTATCCCGTTATGATCTTCATCCACGGAGGAAATTTTGAAGAAGGATCAGCAAATATTTATGGTCCGGAAAAACTGATGGATAAAGGAATAATTCTGGTCACTTTCAACTACAGGATAGGTGTATTTGGTAAGAAGCTGTTTTAATCTTTCACAGTACTATGACGACTGTTTATTTTTTTTTTCAGAACTAAACTAATATAAGTAGATATGGAGGTGACTATTAATATTGTTTGGATGCCAGGCTCATGAAGTATAAAATAATAATGTTTAAATCTAAATTAGCTATGAAAAGAGCGTTTTAATATTTACCAGTAGACGTTAGTTACATGAAATTCCAATTTTAAAAGATTATAAAAAAATTAATCTGATTAATTTTTGCAAGAATTGTTCGAACCCTCTCGCACCCACTTGAGTTATTGCTTAGTCTACAACGACGTTAAAATGATTCCCGGACGGATTTGAAGATGTCATATGGGCTTTTGTCAAATCGACTACATTTCACTAGTTATTTATAATGATCCCATAGAAATACAAGACGCGCAGTAAAATGAAAGTGAAAAATAAATAAATAAAATAACATAATAAATAAAAAACGTAATTAACAAGTTAACTTATTTACATTAGTAAAGTTATCTTATTTAATATTGATTGGTAGCCTAAATTGAGCATACTTGTTTCAATTTCAATTTTAAAATACTTCTATGTGAAAAACTGCGTTACAAATACTATTTTAATAAAAATATTTATGAAGTATCAAGAAACTATTAAAGTTCGAGATTTCAACTATTGTGATTTTAAGATACCTCAGTTTAATTTATTTCATAACGAATATTGTTTTAATAAAAGCATTTATAATTCCTTAAGACTAGCAAACTCCTCAATTATATGTCTCTGAAAAGGGAAATGTAATAACTGAAGAGGGAAAAAAATCTAGCAAAAAGAGAAACATAGAGAGAGAGTGATTTACATAAATCTAAATTGATATTTCAGATTTATTCATGTCAATGTAAGCGAAAAGTATTCTATGGTTAAAAATTACTTATTTCTAATTTATTTTTAAAAAAATACAGAACATTTACATTTTTATGTCATCTTTCTCTTAAGTTTCTCAATACTCAACACCAAACCTCATTTACTCCTCATATATAATTCAACAATACTTTTAGCTGAGATTGGGTGAAATTATTCACACCTCAAATATACTTATTTGCTTGAAGTGTTAAAAAAAAATAGCCCGTATACCTAAAAAAATAACCTATCTAAGCTGGTCTCTCTAAAGTAGATTTCCATCAACCTAAAAACAACCTCAAGTGTGAATAAAACAACTTCATACACCTTGATTATACCTCTTGGGAGGTTGATCATTTTAGGTTGTTTCTAAAGTCAATTTCAAATAAATCTCAAATCAACTTCGAAAACACTTTAAATTTTTGAAAGAGTAGTTCTCGAACTTAAAAATACATTTCAATTAATAAAGTAAGTAATATCAATAATACAAGATGAAATAAAATGCGTAAAATAAAACAAATACATTCATAACCCATTAATTATGTAACAAACAAGGAAATAGTGCTTAGATAATCCTCCATAAATCAACATAGAAGGGTAAAAATCACTTCTTTGTCAGAAGAGAACCCTTAAGGGTAGTCATTACTGAACACTCTGTTAATAAACATCTTTTGTATCTTTTGTTTTAGGGAACATTTAGCCTTTCCTAATCGTTTTATCCCCTATTTTAACCCTTAATTTCAGAAAGAATAAACTTTTTCAATTTCTTTCAGGTTTCTTAAGCACTGGTGATCAAGCCATTTCCGGTAACATGGGATTAAAAGACCAAGTTTTAGCCATTAAATGGGTGAGAGAGAACATAGATCGTTTTGGTGGTGATCCTAACGCTATCACTCTTTTCGGACAAGGGTCAGGAGCTGCAAGTGTATTCATGCATATACTTTCTCCCATGAGTCAAGGTTGGTTTTCTTGAAGTACTATAATTGTTTCGCAATTGTGTGAGTAAGTGAATGAGAAAGTAAGAATATCGAGGAAATTTTTAAAATGAGATTACTTTTAACCCTTTATTTACTAAATTATTAAAAAATTAGCAAAAATGTGTGTGTCACATTAAATAAGGTGTATTTTACACATTGACTTATTCTTTTTTTAAATATTAAATGGTATTTTCTAATTTGTGAAAAATATATTAAACTTTTTGTCACATTAAATAAGGTCTATTTTTTTAATAGTCAATAGTATTTTCAAATTTTTCATAAAATTTTTAATTCGGGATTTACACCAAATTTTAAGTAAAGTTAAGCGCTTCAGACTTTGTAGTGAATGGTGACTGGTGCACATTAAATCTGTTGAGTCACAAAGTCCTCCATGTTCCCATAACAAATCAATACCTCTGGGGACACTGAATTGGAGATTGATAGTTCTCTGGTTCAGGTCAGAATTACAATTTGTGGATGAATGGATGCATGATTGAGTTCGCCCTGTCAACGGATGTGACGTATGGAAGTGGCAGATGTCGAATTTTTGGCCATAGATGGCGCCACTGGAAAACAAGAACAATCGCACCCCTCGGCCTTAATGGTTGACGACAACAACAACATTTCAGATTTTATTTTATAACTAGTTGAAAATGTTAATGAATAAAGAAGTATGAAGGACATACTTACAAAATCATCGAGATAGAAAGCTGAGAATTGGGGAATAATAGAATGACGTTTTTGAACAAAATATCTATAGCTAAATTATTCCACAGGTGGCGTTCAACTTCAAACAATCATGTGTGGTCAAATAGCAATGAAAAACGGAGCGTCATATTACAGGAACAGACAAGTTCCGATGGGACATTTCGTTCCGTTCCAATGCTATATGGATATAATAATAGTGGGACTTAAAAATCCCGTCAGTACATATGGAGTTAAAGTTCTTCATATCGCTTTCATCACTAGAATATTTATTTTATTTTTATATCAATTTTATTAATGTCTAATAAATTACTCTTTTACGTGTGACAAAAATTCAATTCTTATAATAATTATTTATATCATTGGTATCATAATTATTTTCCTTTTACTTTATTTATTTATTTTGCAATATTTATTTTAATGCTACAAATGGAAACTTGCTTGTAAAACAAGGAAAGATTGCATACAGGCGGATAGGTACTATAAGATATATTTTACTGCGTATTTATGAAGATATTTTATTAAGTAACGGCTTCACATTTACCGTTTAATTTTCTTTTCGCTCTTACTAATCATTTCTTCACTAAATCTAGTTCGTTAAGAATGCTTTTCATGGGTATAAATTACCAATTAAAATATAATGTATAAATTCATTAGTATATAAATAAATATATTATTTTTAAGTGGGAAAAAATTGTGAATTACCCAAATATGCAATAAGAAACAAGATGCTCTGCAGTCACCTCCGTTAATATGAGTTTTAAAATCATTACCAAACATATAAATCAAAAAAGAACACCATTAAGAGTATCAAATTATCATTTAAACGAGGAAGAAACAAATACTCAAACAAAATCTGTGGAATTCTCATTGGGGAAATGAAATAAGAAAGAAACACCAGAACCAGTTTGATTGCCTAACTTAAAAGATGATTGTAATAATCGCTTTTGACTACATTCTTTTTCCACTGGCGATCAAGCAAGTTTTGTTGCTTTCAGCCCTGACTGCTTCGGTTTTGATTCATTACATTTTGAGAGTACTTTTGTTCTTTCCTCATTTAAATATTAATTTGCGATCTGTAATGTGTGCAATTTTTTATTCCATTTTCGACAAGCTAGGTAGGTACTTTATTTACGTCGAACTAGAGCTGCATAATGGGCTATAGGCTACGGTCTGAGAAACATCCCTGAGGATGATCTGAAGACATGCCATCGCAATTTTGATCCTCTACGGAGGGGATGGCTTCCCTGCCTTGGTAGCTTAACGACATGCGCGTGAAGTCGCGCACTTTACGGTAGAACAGTTCAACGAGCACCGATACCACGCACCCTCGGTCCCTACTCAGGCTGATCGAAATGGTCACTAACCAGCTTACTGACCGCAGCCAGTGATGTTTGACTTCGGTTTTCTACTGGGGACCGTGTCTTTACGATTAGTCCACTACAACACCCATTTTTGACAAAGATTTTGAAAATATATATAATTGGCAGTCATTGCAGAACACCTTGTATAAAACCCACCTTTTTGTGTATGTGAGATCTAACAGTAATATTCGAGTATGTTTTGTTTTATCCCTTTACCCCTCCAAATGAGAGTTTGATACTATATTCTACCCTCTTTCAGACTTGTTCAACAGGGCCATCATGCAAAGTGGTTCAGCTCTCTGCGATTGGGCTTTAGAAGGTGATCCGCACGGCTATGCTCGAGAAATTGCACAGCGATTGGGTTGCTCAATCAGCTCATCGGCAACTATACTTGACTGTGTTAGACAAAAAACTTTTCAAGAGATACTCAATGCACAAAAGGATAGTAAAGTGAGTTGTCGTTCTTAATTTTTTTTTTTGGAATGGAATATTTTAAAGTTATCTTTTTCTATTTATTGAACGGCTCTTGGATACCTATGTTTTTCTTTGCTGTCTACACGATTTTTTTTTTCTTTTTCGCTCAAAATTTTTAAGATTTTTGCTTCTCTTGGGCTTGAGACTTTTCGCTGTACTCTTAATTTTCTTCTTTTTTCTGATGTTTTATTTCTTCTTTCTTAGAGGCTATTTACATTTTGACTAAAATAATTAATCACATAACACGTTTAGAACAATGTTAAATTAAAAAAGAAAAACCCGGCTGGAAATTAGCTCTAATATAAAAGAATAAAACTCAAAAATAAAAAAAATTGCTCACAAAGTTTAGTATACTGAACAAGTAATCTTCAAAACTAAATTTTTCAATCCAATTTTTCTTTATCGATTAATTGTAAAAGAATATACTTTTAACTGTTATAATTTTAGATTCTAAACGCATAATTCATCAACTTCTACTCATACTATATTAGCATATCATTGTTAAACTATTTTTCTTTCTTCTCACTCTTTCGCGAGTTTAATTAAACAAATTAACTCTTAACCCTTAAAGGCACACCTTTGCATTCAACATATCAAGATAAAGCTCCAAATTATGAAAAATGAGTAATAAAATCTAATATATTAATCAAGTAATCTAGAAAACTAAATCTTTCAAGCTTAAAAGTTTCTTTATCGAATAATTGTAAGAGAACGTACTATTATAATTTTTTGCTCTAAACTATTCATCAACTTCTACTTATATTAGCATATCATTGTAAAGCTATTTCTTGTTTCTTCTCACTCTTTCGCGAGTTTACGCAAAAAAAAATTAACTCTCAACACTTAAAGACACACCTTTGCATTCTACATATCAAAATAAAACTCCAAATTATGAAAAATGAGTCATAAAATCTAATTCATTAAACAAGTAATCTAGGAAACTAAATATTTCAAGCCTAAACGTTTCTTTATCGAATAATTGTAAGAAAACGTACCTTTAACTATTATAATTTTTGGCTCTAAACACATAATTCATCAACTTCTACTTATATTAGCATATCATTTTTAACTTTTTTTCTCACTCTTTCGAGTGCTTACGCAAAAAAAATTAACTCTTAACACTTAAAGACACACCTTTGTACTCTACTTATCAAAATAAAATTCCAAAATATGAAAAATGGAACATAAAATTTAGTATTACTGGACAAGTAACCTTGAAAACTGAATACTTCCAAGTCAAAACTTTCTTTTCATCAGACCCTGGTATCACGCACTGGTTTATCAAATTCAGTGTATCCATTTATCTCCTCCTCGGTTATAAATCACCCGCAATGAATTATTCAGTTCATTCTTTCCTGGAATAAAATAATAATCCGATTCCTTGGAATAACGGAACGAAAGGGAAATGACCCCGTTTATTAGTCCCCAACTAAACAGAGAAAAGTAATTTCATAATTTATTTGAAAGCAGGTTGTATAAGGTATATTTATGATAAATGATTTTATTAAAAGAAATAAATTTGTGGTTTAAATGTTTTGTCGTTCGTAAAGCTTAAATGTGTAAATTTAATAAGACTATAAAATAAGATTTTTTTTGTATGAATAATATAGTTGATGATGATAAATGTTTTTTGAATATAATTAATTTCTATTGTAGTCCTTTATTTACCATTAAAATGGCAAAGACAGAGGAGGAAATATTTAATATGCTTTTAATCATCTTCAGTTAATTTGAACAAATAAGCAAATGATGGGTATTTACTGTTCTCGACAATATTTTTAGATACAATGCTGCTGCCCAATCATAGAGAAAAAAGTACAGTAATTCTGCATTCAGCATTCTTTAAAAAGTAGTTTAATGTTAGACGTATGTCTAATTTTAGATTTTTGGGAAAATATCTTTGTTTATGTGTAATTTACGCTGCTTGATTTTTTTCTGCATTATCTCAATTAGTTTGAATCTGTTTCAACAATAATGAAAATATATTTTAAAAACATTAGTAAAAAAAGGCAAGTATATAGTACTTAAGTATCTACTTATCAAAGATATTAACTGCATAATTTTATTGCCTTGGATTTTTGAGAAAAATTTGCTATTTCACCTTATCTAATAGAGCAATAATTTTATTTTCCACGTTTATTTTAATAGATAGTGCTATCGAAAAAAAATTCATCTAAAAAAAATTATCGAAAATGCAAAAATCGAAAAGTTAACCTCAGATCTTAAAGAGCGAGGGCGCTTAAAAAAAACTTTTTAGTAGTGAAATACTTAAGGATTATAACACATTTTTATGGTAACACTTTTACATTAAAATTTAAATAATTTATAAAACAATTTTTTTACTGGAAAATTTGTAAGAATAACCAATTGAGTTATAAATGGAAAAAGGAAAACCTGTCCGATATTTTTAGTTTAAAAAATTTATTCATTTTTAAGTTAATAAGGGCACAAATTGTATAACAGTTATAATATATATCTTGTTAAATTTTATGCTTTGAGCAGAATTGATGAAAGTGTAAAATTCTTTTCATTTTCCAAAAAAATTGTCCTATTCGTCCATTTTATTCCTTTTTTGATATTTTTTTTCACACTTTAAGAACCTGATTTTTTCTAAAATGATATCAATTCTAGTTTTACGCAGGCAAATCCCTTTTGTAAATGTGTGCAAGCATTTAGAATATTTAAAGATTTCCTATGCATTAAAAATTACCACTTTAAAATAAAATAAAAAATTTTAAGAAATGCATATTAGGCAACAGACACATGGCACCATAACTCCTGTTGAAATGTAAAGATTCTTTCTAATCGTAAAGTAGTCGAAATTTCAATTGGCGATCGATTTGGCGATTAAATGATATGAATTCTTCTTAAACGATTGAAATATGTATCAGGCATAGTGTTCAAGATGAAAATAAAAACATTTTAATTAGTCTGAAAAAGGATCAGAATGTCGATTGGCAGCAAATTCAATTTACCAATACATGGCAACAAGTTCTTATTTTCGAGGCCGGAAAACGATTTATCAGGTAGAGTTTCAGCAAAAAATTTGAGTTATTCTGCTCTAATTAGAAGCATTTTCTGACTGTACTTTTAACACTTTGACGCAAAATTTTTATTAAACATATTTTTTTTTCATTATTTTTGTCAAAGTAAGTGAAAAACATTATATTTAGTATTTTTATAATTTATGGTTATGAATGGTTTACAGCACGATCTGCGATAAATGTANTTTGCTAATTATGCTAGGCCTATTATAATTAAATTTTTGAATATGAATGAAAAAATATTTTTTTCAGACTTTTTTTTGGATTTTATATTTTTGACAGCATATATAAATCAAATATAATTCAAATTATAAAAGAATTTTTTAGTAACTGTTAGACTGTTTTTTACATTTAAAAAATACCGAAACATATTTTTATTTCAAATTAGGTTGTCAGTAAAAAAAATTAATAAAAGGAACATTGGTGTCCCATCTACATCAAAGGGTTAACTCGTTTGATTTTGATCTTTCTACCTCCTTTTCAAAACCATTTGACACGTTTGTTTTATTAGTTTAAGCTTGCTAATAAGATTAGTTAATACTTGCAAAAGGTCAAAGGTACATACTTCGCATGCAGAGAAACTGTTTTTTATCTCTTTTTATAGATTTCTTCCCGATTGAATTAAATAATATGTTTTCTTCATATCTTCAGATCTTTGGAGATTTTCCTTTAAGAGCTGTCCCAGTTGTTGAAAAGAGTGGCGACAAAAGATTTCTGACAGACACGCCTTTAAACTTACTAAACGCTGAAAATTTCAGAAGAATACCTTTAATGGCTGGAATAAACAGAGATGAAGGGGCTTTCTTTTATCCTTGTAAGTAACTAAACAATTTCATAACTTTTTTTAGGGGAATGCATGGAAGTTAAATCCAATTTTTTTCAAAACTATTTTTCCAGAACTGTGATGGCTCAGGGGATAGAGCTTTCGTCTTCCAATTATATGAACGGGGTTCGAATCCCAGCGATAGCTGGTCGATACGAATTCCGCACCCGGTTTGCACCGACCACAGTGCCGACGTAAAATATCCTCAGTGGTAGACGGATCATGAGTTAGAGTCCCCTTGCCGTCAGGTTAACCGTGGAAGGTTTTAGTGGTTTTCCTCTCCATGTAAAGCAAATACGGGTTAGTTCCATCAAAAAAATCCTCCACGAAGGCAAATTTCTCCCAATACTTGAGCCAGGAGTTTCCTTGTCTTCTGGATTGGGTTCAAAATTGCAAGGCTACGGAGTTGAACACTAATAGTCGTAAATCCGAAAAAATGGGTAGGCTGTTCAACGACGATTACAGAATAAAATAAAAATATTTTTCTAAGTTTTTGTTAACATAAAAAAAAGTTCCAAGTTTTGATTTTATTTGATAGCATACATTATTTGTCCGCTGTTAACATTATTGTTTTTTTATTTGCACTATAAACTACACTTCTGATTAATAATGTATCAAGAGCGAATAAACCCCTTTACTTAAGGGTGTTTTGATCCATTATGCGGTACGCATAGTAAATTAGCCATTAAAACAGCAATGATTAAATGTCTAAGAAATGTTACTAGGAACACTTTGTGTCTAAAAAATATATTTATGCATATAGAACTGCAAAATTATGTTGTTATTAAGTTAAATAGAACAAAATTTTATAATGTGCCTTCTTCAACCTCGTAATAACATTATTTTATTTTTACAGTGCTCTTGAATACATATCGAGATGCTCTGAGGGACAATCCGAATTTCCTCCGAACACATCTAATTCCAATGTTCATTCTAACTACGACAAACATAAGAGGCAATGTGGATTCTGTATCAGAGACAATAATGTTTGAATACTTCAATCGCATCAACCACTCCAATGTATCCCAAATTTTACAACCCTTCATAAACGTAAGTTCTTCCATAAAACTCTTTCTTCCAAAAAATAAGTGAAAATGACAATGTAGCAACTCATGCCACAGATATTTGACAATGTATTTATGGATGTGTGTATTTATGTTCTTATAACGTAGCTATTTTTAATATACCTATAAAACGGATTAATATTAAAATATTCCATTACTTATAAAGATAGCTTCTCCGAAAATTCCTGCTCTTTTTAGATATTCCAGATAAACTAAATTTGAAAAAAACTGCATACTAAACTGCATAAACTACATGTTCGAAGATACTAGAAACCAAGTCTCGATTTCTAATGAAAGGCTGTATGATTCTTTATCTCGTTGAAGTTTAAATTGAAAAAACCCTTAAACTTTACGCAAATTTCCCACGAAGAGAACATATAATTATGATAACATATATTATTTACAAATAATACAAACAAAAAAAAACAGATAATTAAAACAAAAACAAAAAAAACTTTATATCATTTTTTTTTTTTTTTTTGAGACTGAGGNTTTTTTTTTTTTTTTTTTTGGATTCGGCCGATCTTTCGTCCTACAGTTCATTTTACCTTATCTCTTTACTTCATTTACAGTTCAATAAAAAAGTTCACGTGCGCAAACTTTTTTCAATAAAAATACGTGAAAGAAAAATATAACCTCTTCATCAGCTCACACGATTATATCCGATCACGCTTTTACCTCATCTTGCGCTTCTGTTTTCATAATTTGTAATCTGGCAATTTTATTACAAAAATATTTATTTTTGAATCTTCATTTATAAAAAATAAATCATTCTTCTAATAATAATTTTTTTTTCCAGATGTCGACGGATGCTATGTTTACCGCATGCAACGATATAACAGTGCATTTATATGCATCTAAAGGTGCACCAGTTCATATGTACACTTTTGAATACAGGGGCGAGAATAGCATGGTCGAAATAGAACACGGCACACCCATTGCTTATTTTGATCCAGGTAAGAATGAATTAAAGGCATGCTAGTCACATTAAGTCTAACGAACTTGACCGCAATTTATTTTTTTAAAAAAATGGAAAAAGAAACTGAATTTGAAATAAGAAAAAGTAATAAAAAAATAAAAAATCATAAGAAGCATGTAAAATTAGTAAAATAGATACAGAAAATAATTGTTTTGTAGCGAGATGTTTTAAAGTCAGATTTTTGCTAATAAGGAAACGTTTCCAAACTAGACTTATATGATTGCACGAAATTTTTAAATGCGTTTGTGGAAACTCAAAATAGCTACAGTAAAAAAATTAGACCCAAACTACTGTGAAAAAACTGCAAAAAAAAGCATACATTTTAGTACTAAAATCAAAATTACTTATAATTATCACTAATTTATTAATCCAGACTGGAGATTAGATGCAGGGTAAGTTTTACAAGTAAGTTGTAATTCGATTTTATTATTATTAATTCCTAAATACAAACTGCGAATTTGAAATATTCTTAAGCGTTTACTATAACACTAAATTTGAAATATCACTTTTAGATAAAAATTTGAAAAGAAGCACTTTAATCTAATTTTTAAACATGTATTACTATAAAGTAGTACCAAATCAAACTACAAAGTAAAACTATCAAATTACTTACCCTTTGAAGCAGATCGGACACCAGCGTCCCTTTTATATATACATTTTTATGACTTTCTAATTACAAGCAAAAATATATTTTGGTATTTTTTGGTCATAAAAAACAGTTTTAAGAGCTACTAAAATGCTATATTATCGGAATTATATAAGTACTAAAATATAAAATCCAAAAAAAGTACTTAAAAAAATATTTATCATTCATATCCAAATATTTATCAATAATAGATTTTGCAATAATTTATTTAAGAAATTTCAATGATGACTGTTTCGCTTATTGTAAATAATCTCAAATAAGTTCGAATTTGAAAAATTATCATTATAGCCGTGTTTGAAAGGTTTTTACCTTTAACGCAAAAGACACAGGAGTTCCAAGCTGTAATAAATGCTGAACGCAATATTTTCACTTAAATTAATTAAAAATAATGAAACAAGTATGAAAATTATTTTAAATAAAAATTCTGCGTCAAAGAGCTAAAGATTAAAAAAAATTTATTAATTCCATACAATTCTAATTCTAAAATACAGCATTGTTGTGTATAGTTTTCAAACATAACCCATAATTTATCCTTAAATCCAAACTATAATTTTAAACTTTTCTTCTTCTCAGTTAATCCGTAATCAAATTTAAATTATCAGTTTCATAAATTTGGAACTTTCCAACAAAGCATTTTTATTATAATTTATAAATAGGTCTTATCATTACTCACCAGAATCACCATCCAATTGATAAGACACGAGAAATAAATATTAATTCCAATCAACGCTTCTGCTACATGATCACCGAAGCATATACGTTAGAAAGCGATATTTTGGGATGACTTAACAAATCCTTGTAACCCAAATTTTTATTTTTTTCAACTAGGTGTTTCACATGGAGACGAATTGTTGTATCTATTTAACTTAGACGTAGAAGGACTCAGACAGCCCTCTTTATTAGATAATTTAGTTAGCGGACGTGTTGTTTCCCTTTGGACGGATTTTGCAAAATTCGGGTAAGTTCATGGATTTTTGGTTTTAACTTAGAAATATGTAAGAATTTCTTCGAACAATACACCTCTAGAATATTACGATATCAATGACACAAGGAAACGCGAAACTATCTTAAGGAGACTATCTCAAGATTATCGAAACTATCTGAAAATACATTTTTCTACTTTTTAGAACATATTTTCCCGTAAATAGATAGATAGATAGATAGATGAATGGCCGCCTTGGTGCCCAGCCTTGATATTGTTGTCTATACCCATTAAATTTGGATTCCGGCAATTTTTGTTTAGTTTCAGTTTGGGGTAATACAGTGTGGGCATCATGAATTATTTTAGAGACAATTGTGAGCCATTCAATTGGGGTTTTGGGTTCTTTTAAAACCAAAACTGTTTTAACTTGTGGGGACAAACCTATAGATAGACCCTCAATTATATGATCATTACTTAATTTTTTTATGACCAAACTCTACCTTTTAAGTAAAATATAAATTCGGGTCTCTAGTTTGGAAATCATTNAGCCTTGATATTGTTGTCTATACCCATTAAATTTGGATTCCGGCAATTTTTGTTTAGTTTCAGTTTGGGGTAATACAGTGTGGGCATCATGAATTATTTTAGAGACAATTGTGAGCCATTCAATTGGGGTTTTTGGTTCTTTTAAAACCAAAAGTGTTTTAATTTGTAGGGGCAAACCTATAGATTGACCCTCAATTATATGATCATTACTTAAACTTACTAACTCAAAAATATTTGAATACGACCTAACTAATACGACTATACGACCTAACTCAACCTTTTCAGTAAAATATGAATTCAGGTCTTAAGCTTGGCCAGAAAATTTTAAATTTTGAAAATCATTAAAGCCAAAGGGAGGTGAAAAGTAATGCTCTTGAAAAATTTCTACTATTTCCTGATAAGAATCACAATTTAAACGGTTATTAATATATAATTTCAAAGCTGAACCTTTAATGAATTTTCGAAAATTTTTAAATTTCCATTCCTCATTTAATTTAGCATCTATAGTTTGCTTTTCGAAATGTTTGAGTCAGGCTGTGAACTGAACACCAATGTCGGGCTCAAAGATTAATATACCTGGTTTATCCTTTGATCTATACCTAAATTTTGTAATCTAGCATCTAATTCATTATCAGTATTAGTATTGGCTTTAGAATTTTCTTCCATATCGAATTTGTAAGTTTTGCCACATCGTAAGGGCATTCAAACATTAAAATAAGTTTCAATTATTAAAAATAAAATTCAGAAGATGAAAAAAAAAATTTCAAATATTTGAATAGTTTATTTTTCTTAAAAACCATAATAAAATAAAAATTTTAATTTTAATTATTCAATCAATAAATCATATATACTGTGATATATAATGCAATAAAAAGACAGTGATTCCTTAAAATAATTTGAATATTAATTAAAATTATAATCATACGAATCAAAAGTGTGAAAAAATATATATAATGAAAACACTAAATTTTAATATTATTTTAATTTAAACGAATAATATGGTTAACCATTGAATAAAAATATCAATAAATAGAAACATCATCAAAATATAAATATTAATAACCATATATTTATATTTTCGAATTTCAAGATATTAGCGTGAATGATTCAAAAGCATTCACGTTTCAACTGGTACAGAAAAATCCAATAGAGAGTACCGTTAAAAAATCAGAGCACGATTTGTCAAATAAATATCACTTCTAATTAAAATAAATTGTGTAAAATATTTACCTTGTGGAATCATTACTTGATTATATCAAAATAATTTGAAATATTTAGAAGAAGAAAAAATTTAGATAAGGGTTTATCTATCTTTAAAACAAATAATTAAACCAAAACACTGAGTGATGTATTGTTATTTTCTTGACATGTTCAGAACAAAAAACCCTTCTTCTTTAGAAAATATTTGTTTAATTTGTCGCTTGCTTTTGAGGTCTGAATCACTTCTGTGATTTTCCTTTTTAATGATCCATGGAACTCTAATGGCTAAAGTTAGATTTGAAGGGGGGGGGAATGTCCGTTAGTCAAGAGATGAGGGGGAAAACACATGTTGGAAGAGAAAAAATAATAATAATGTTATTTCTCTTCGAATCGGTTCAAATTCTTTGTCATTTCACGAGGAGTGAAGAAATAATATTCACATTCTTTATAAACACTTCTATTGTTCAGTGATGACGGAAGTTAAAAAACAGCGAGAGAAAAAAAAATAGTCAATTGTTGAGGCAAAAACAAATCAGTTTTGGGTAGGCCAGTGCTTCCCAAAGTATAGTACGCGTACCTCCAGGGGTACGCGCTCTTATGCGAAATATCTTGCAACAAACGAAAATTTCACGAAATTTTATTTAAAAACAAGGCTAGCCATGAAAATTTACGATTACGTATTTTTCTATTAGATATTTTGTGCAGAGTTAACAGTTAATAATTAGTGGTGTCAACAGCCGGTTGTGATTTTTAACTTTTGAGCAATTTTTTTATAGTAAAAAATGCATTTATTTTTTTATTAGTGGTACAAGCGTTACGAAAAATTTAGAAAGGGTACACCAAAGTCATAAGTTTGGGAAACACTGGGGTAAGCAAAATCAGACCAGGCAGTGTTGAGATCCAATCTCCAATGGTAATGACGAGAGCGTGGACATCAGGCACTACTAAAATTTTCAGCGGGTACTAGTGAGGTGGGACCCATGAAGGAGGAAAGTCCCAAGAATCTCTAAGCACTCCTTGGAACCGGAAGAATGAAAGTTTCGATTGTCGATTAATGTTGATTCAATAATCAGTGTGAAACAGGTGTTTATTTATGTAACGGAGCAAACCAAACTTTTTTCTTTTCTTTTGTACTGTCTTTTTCTTCTATGACAGCTCCATTCCCCAGCTAAGTGATCGGTGCTCTCCGGGTACTTTTTCGTATCTTTTTATTTATATACTTGAAAGAAGCATTTTAGTAATATCCTGCGCCCGTTTCATCAGGTCTTTATCCTGCTCGGCTTCTAAGGTTTGCAGTCATGGACGTCGTGTGAGCAGAACAAACAGGCACAGGATTTAAAAGAGAGCAAACAAGTTTATTTCATTTAATCATTTTGAGATGAATGACCAGAGAGCATGTGGCACAATTTCATCGTGCTTCAGCCTGAAATCTTGCAAAGAAAATCCGTATAATGCTTCGATTTAGGGAAAATGGGAAATCTTATTTGGTTTATTAAATAGGTCGCGCGATTCCCACAAAGAGTAAAGGGGAAAATGTCTTACTTTTAATTAATGCATTCTTGAGCCAAAAATAAATTTAAGGACAGGATGTGAATTTAAAAGTGTGAGAAAGTGTTTCGATTAGAATAATAAATTAAGGAAAGGATTTACAGAAAAGAAATAACATAAAAAGATTAATTGAAGCTTTTCATATTACATATATAATTATATAAGTTTGCGACATATGAAATGTCGGATTTTTACTGTAAATTTAAATGAACATAACTGTTTTATAAACTATTTAATTAATCAAAATAAAAACCATTACGATTAACACATTTTTGCAAACGTGATACTAGTTTTTGGATACCACTTTCATAAAAATTAAGCTCTCTGGTGTCAATAAAAGATTGTGTCATTTTTGATCTGCTCTAGATTAGTGAACTTTTTATCACGGAGAAAATTACCAAAATATTTAAAGTCATAATCAATTGGTGATATGCCCGGTTTATGTGGTGAACGTTGTATTTTATTTCCGCCAATTTGTTTGCGAAGATTTGTTCCATTTTCATTCACAGGTAATAATTCTGTTTCCTTGTCTTCTGGGTAGGGTTCAAAATTACAAGGATACAAAGTTTAACTTTGACGGCCCTAGACTCAAAATTGGGTCAGATGTTCAACGCTGGTTATAAAATAAAAATAAAACATTAAGGGAAGGTAGGGAAAAAAGATTAAATATTGCGTTGCAACCCATGGCAGTGAGCTGTATCCTTACAGTACAGTACTTTATGGTAATATCGTATCGTTGGCGACTAATTTAACACTCTATACACACCAGAATAATTATGCTACTGTAAAAAAGTTATATCTGAGCCTATTCGACAATAATCAATAGAAATCTTAATTCAAAATAAAGATAATTTCGATAAATAATTGTACCAGTTCAAAGTTGCACCCCCAGAAACTTCGATATTTCCGACCATGGGTTGCTATGCAATTTTTAATATTTATGGTGTGCCCTACTTGCATTAATAATTACAAGACACCCTATAATTAAAAGATGCACCAGCGGCTACTAAATATGTTTTTGTCTGTTTGTGTGCAATTTATCACTTAGTCACTTTAATCACTTAGAGCAGTGTTTCCCAAAGTGTGGTACGCGTACCCCCAGGGGTACGGGAACAGTTTAGCGGGGGTACGCGTTCTTATGCGAAATATTTTGCTACAAACGAAAATTTCCAAAAATTTTACTTAAAAACAAAGCTAGCCAAAAAAATTTACGATTAATTATTTTTCTATTGGCTATTTTTGGAGAGTAAACAGTTAATAATTAGTGATGTCAACAGCCAGTTGTAATTTTTAACTTCTGTGCAATTTTTTTATAGTAAAAAATACATTCATTTTTTATTAGTGGTACGCAGCGTTGCGAAAAATTTAGAAAGGGTACCCAAAAGTCATAAGTTTGGGAAACACTGACTTAGAGAATAAGCTTGCGTCCTTAATTTCGCCCAGACAGTCATTTCATATTATTTAATAGTAAAAAGCTTCGGATGTCTTTTTTCATTAGCACAGATCCTGCTAAAACTTTTTTTTGAATTTTAGATCCCTTCCTTCTCTGCCAAAATCATTCACATACCCTCCTATCTAATCAAATGATTCCGTTATCCATAACCAATATATGGAACATGTACAAAGAAGCAAGTGGTTAAAGAATTGGACTTCGGTCCGAAGGGTTGGGGGGTTCGATCCACGACTCCACTACGACGTACCGTGTACATGCGATAGACATAATCGTAAAATCTTTGGAATCGAGAGTCTTGAGGTCGGTACTCGAGTAGTACCATGGGTACAGAGATCTAAAGAAAATTTCCTTCCCCTTCAAATATGTGCCTAAATTGAGGAAGTGGTCACACAAATGCGTGGTGCTGCCATCTATTTGTGTAGCTAAGACGTACTTTCGTCCTTGAGCTGTTCTCGTCAAACGAAAAGTACAGACAGCTTCCTGACTGAATTCACAAAAGGTCTATGGCTGATGCTTGACTTCTCCAAGTATCATTAGAAATAAAATTTGCAAAATTTATATCGAGACAAAAAACACACTTTTGAGCTATCTTAACTACACACCATTCTATCGATTTTTTTTTTTAATGCTTAAATATTGTATATAAATATTTTATAATATTGTTTAATATGTTTTAAAAATAATTTTTCTTCTTTCACAGGGAAGCTCCACAGTACGTGAATTACGAATATCCTCGTTGGGAGACTTACAAGCCAGACACACAACGTTACTATCGAATCGAAAGAGACTTACGTCCAGAATCATTTTACAAACAAAGAGCTGTCGACATGTGGACAAGACATCTCCCTGCATTGGCGGAGNATGACAACACCAACCACAAGCCCACTCATTCAAGACACGCGAGCCGAGAGTCTGTACAGAACACTTGCTTGGGCTATGGTCTCAATTTCCATTGCACTACTAGTTGTTGTGGTAGTTCTGCTGGTTGTACTTTACAACCAAAAGAAGAGCCAAAGCTTCAAGGCCAGCACTGAAAATCAATCTAGAATATCTGGTTCCACTCTTTACTAAAGGAAGAGATTCATAGATATTCCTCGTGATTTTCAAAGCACGGATCCAGAATGAAATATAGGATAATTGTGTTTAAATAGGTGATATACGAGTTTGCAAGGCGCCTTTACTTATTGAACAACTCTTAATTGATCAACTTTGGCTTTTTTTTCTAAGGGACAAATCATCGAAAAAAATTTACAGTAAACTCTCGATCATTCGCGTCTTGGCTATGGAGCAAAATCTTGCATGTAGAGAATTTTAGGACTAATTGACTTTTTATATACTTCTCATATTTTGTCCATAAGAAATTCTGTTTCAATGGTACTTTGTCTACGTTAGGTGCTGCTTTATATTTTGCTAGTTTGAGACCTGTTCAAATTTTTTTCCTGGCAAGATTCTGTGCGCCATTAATCTGTATGATATTCTTATCTTCAAAATATCAAACACAATTTTTAATTACAACCAGTACAGGGTGCGTAGCCAGATTTTTCAACGAAAAATAAGCACCTTTTAAGTACTCAAAAATATTTTTTATCACTTTCCAAAAAAAAAAATTCATAATTAGGATCTGTACAGTAATAAATATTTTTTTTTCTAAGTTCTTAATTTGTACACATAAAATCAATAAAGTTCAAGAACATTTTTAAGAAATTTACATACCCATGATAAAACAACTAGTTTCTGATAAATATTACAGAGAAAATTGTGAAAATCATGCATCTTATGTAATTTAGAACGATAATCGACAAAGCAAAGAAAAAATCTCTTTTTAAAAGATAGAATATTAAGCACTTTTTAAAAGCCCCAAATAAAAAAAAAAGTATCTTTAAGGGCTTTTAAAAAACATAAATCAAAAATAAGCACCCCGTAGCATTTTGTCGATTATTTTGTTTGCATGCACCGCTGTAATATTTTGCTTATTTGAGATTCTGTCCCATGGTCTGGGTAAAAATTTGATCAACAATATTTTGCTTAGATTTTTCTCAGTTTATAATTGTCATTTCTTTAAACATTTACGTACCTTTACACTGCAAAATTTTCAACACAAGTAACTTTTCTGACAATTTTAAAAGTCATCTGCGGTCATCAACGCGTCCACTTTCGCGAATAATTGAGAATTTACAGCACTTCATAGGATGAAGTCAACATGAACATGGTGCTTTTCATGATGGGATAAAAAATAAAAAAATTCATGAACTGTTTCATTTCAATAAATACATTATGTATCTGTTTAGGGACTGGTGCAGCGGAAACTGCAATTTAATGACTTTTTCTTGACCTTATTCAAAACTCGATTTACAATGGAATGGTAACAGATATTATTACTTAACACATTGTAATCCTGTCCACTTCAACAAGAAAAAAAATATCGGGTTATTATGACTAAGTATTTCAAATGAACAGATTGTATAAATGAATAAAGCTTACAATTTTAATTATTATGCACCACACACTTGCAACAGTTCATGTATAATAACAATTGAAATGTTTCTTGATATTTATTATAGCACCTATTCATACAAAAAAATTTTACATGAACACTAAAAAATAGATTTAGATGTCATATGCTATATAGATTATAGAAGACTATAATATTTTAAAGATATATGTTACTACTTTCACAATTGTAAAATACCTGTTTATTTGCTTACTTCTTCATTATAGTTTCAAGAAGTCTTAAAAAAATTTCTTTCAAATATAGACTGTTTTCAAAAAATTTAATTCAAAAATGCTATTAAATAAAATGAATGAAAAAATTTAGACATTGCTAACTTAGATTTTATAAAGAAAATTAAATATTTGATCATGTTAAATCTTACTTTTTACTTAAAAAAATCTTTTTCTTAAACTGGAGAAATAATATAATAAAATAAAAAGTCAGACGAATGTAATTAAACATTAGATTAACTTACGTACATTTTTAATATCACAGGTTAAAATATCAATATTTAACTATTACCCCCCCCCTCCCCAAGAGCCTATAGTAGCACATCTTAAAATACTATATTTCTACTGAGAGCGAATGTGCAAATTCCTTCTATGTGAATTTTATTTAACTTAAAATACACATTTTTACTGAAAATAAAATATTTAAAATTTCCAATAAAAAATGCTATGAAAGAAATCTTGTGAATGTCATATTTTACATACTGTTTTTTAATTATAGTTTTTTTAAATGTTATAAATAAAACGTGTTAAAAGTGAACTAGTGTTATAGTATTTTATGTTTAAAATATTAAAACTATTATAAAAACACTTATTATAAATTATTGTACAATTGATTTTGTGTAATTCTTTTAATATAAATATATTTAAATTCTTCTGTTGTATATGTTTTAATTGTTATTAATAAAGTGTTTTTAAAGGATTTGTCAATTTATGCATTAAAATAATTAGAAAAACCAACAAATTATATCAGCATTTACATAATTCTGCATGGGATTTAATGTAGAAGTTTAGGAAATTTTTCATTTAAAAGGGTCCTTTTATAGCCGATCTAATTCTAAAACTTAGGTGATCAGGGAAAAAAATTCACCATTCCAAAGAATGAATTTAGCATTATAATTAAAATAAGCACTTTTTAAGAACTACAGATAAAAAAATATGATATGAGACTATTTTTTAAATTAAGATTAAAACATAACAATGATTATGTTGATGATTATTATTATATCTAACGCACATAAGGCCAGTGTAAATTATAAGATAACGGCCAAATTTTCAAAACTCAAAAACAACACAATATTATCTCAAAAAGTAAAAACATTTTAAAAAAACCAAAAAAGATGTACCCAGATAGTACAAAATTATATTTTATGGGTAGGCTATAATTTTCATCGTCTATGATCAAGGTTATTTTATAGCATGACTAAATATTGATGTGCAGTTGATTAAGAAAATTCACTTCAAAATTTAAAAAAGAAAATTTTATCAAAAATAAATAAAAATTAATGCTTAATTTCCGGGGAGGGGGGAATTCCCGACTTTTTCAAGCATTTATGGAAAATTTCAATTACGCTTCAATCCAATTTCATTTATAATGTCAAATATTAAATTTTAAGTGCGAGCAAAAAAAAAAAGAAGAAAAAAAAGGTTAAAACATGAGGGTGCCCCTTGGCGAAATTGGCGACTTAACACAGGAATGGCGGCCGAAACTTAATAAAATTTTAATGAACCCAATATAAGCAAAATTAATTAACTCACTAAAATGAATTTTGAATCGAAACAAAAATTAATGGAGTAAGCACAGGAAGAAATGGAAAAAAATAACTTCTTCATTAAGCTTGAATATCCTCAGATTTAAGTGCACAGAATTCTCTAATAGCAGTTAGATACTGTCTAAATTTACCATGAATAGAATCTGTGCACCTCCATCGCCACATAAATTCGGCGAAATACGAATCGAAAATGGCGTCCGTGGCACCGGACTGGCGGTGAAATTTTTTTTATAGTCCATACCTGCCAACTTTCACTCTTTCCAAGAATGGATTTTCAGAGTGGTTGTAAAACAATAAACGAAAAACAATCTGACTCAAAAATATATTTATATTTTGATCCCGTTGAAATTCGTTTGAGCAAGAATTATTATGCTTTCATATATTTATTGTAATTATTTATATGTAGTGGTGGTCAAACTCATTTATAATTATCATTATAATAATGGAATAACCTGAGTATTGCTACCACTTTAATTATAAAAATAAAATCTTCCGGAAAATCCGGAAGAGTTGGCAGGTATGATAGTCCCTTTTTATGACTGCCCACATACCTTCGATCTCATTGGCCATAAGTAAAAGTAACCTTACCAGCCGGTATCCAACGTAGAACTAATGGACCTCTGAAATTACATATACTGTTGAACACTAAAAAATAATGCTGAAATCTAAACCTATTAGAATTACAATTGGGTTTCAACATCGCCCAGCTTGGCGATCAAGGGGCACCCTCAAATATAGTATACCCCCCCCCTAAAAAAAACATTAAATGAGGATGGAAACATGGAAAAGATGGGGAATAAAATTACACTAAATGATGTGGAATGTATAATATAATCTCAATAGCAGCTTGAATATTAAGATTGGTTATTTTCCCGTTATAATGTAGGGATTATTCAATTTTTTGCAAGCATAAAAAAAATGAACTTTTGCTGCCTTTTAGGGTCAAAATAAAATTTCCTGACTATTTCCCTGACCTGAAGTATCTCAGTCATACTACAGCCCAATAGATGGCTTCTGCTTTTTCACTGTCATCTTTATACAACCTTCATAAGTGGTTGGGTTCAGATCACTTTTGGCAGTGTTTACCATCCTCTCCAGCTTGTTTCACTTTGTTTTTACTCTCAATGCACTACTGTCAGACAAGACCCAATTCAAGCTTAGCCAAGAGCTTATACAAATGAAACATAAAAAATACTTAAGCAGATATTAAAAATATGATTATGCCAGCTCTGCAATTGATTGAAATAAAACTACAATAACCATGAATAAGAAACTCAACTAACTTTTTTTAAATTCAATCTTCAAATTTGAAAAAATAAAATGTTAATAATTGAGCTAAAATTCAAAAACATTTTAAGCAAGGTATTTTATTATACACAAAAAATATACATAGCAGCAGCCATAATTTTAATAACCATAAGCTAGTTTAATAACAAAATTAGTATTTCCTTCTATGACTAGAAATTAATACAACAAGTAATAAAAATAAAGCAATAAATAAAAATGTGAAAACATTGTATGAACTAATTATTCATAGATACAGGGAAAAAACCAAAGAATGAACTGGACAAAAAAAATTCATCCAGAGCCAAAAATAATTAATTACTTAAGCATTTTAAAATGTACAAAAACTTAATAATTTAACACATGTCAATTGAACAATTAAGTAATATATTTGACAAAATTTAATCAAATTACTACATAAAGAATTAAACTTTTAAAACAAAAATAATGATCAATTGAAGACAAATATATTTCAGTAACATATAGTCAGATAAAAAAAATGGAAATTTAATGATAACTAATAAATAAATGAGAAAATAGTATACAGGTTAATGCAAAATCGTTACCCTTCNACTTTTAAAACAAAAATAATGATCAATTGAAGACAAATATATTTCAGTAACATATAGTCAGATAAAAAAAATGGAAATTTAATGATAACTAATAAATAAATGAGAAAATAGTATATAGGGTAATGCAAAATCGTTACACTTCATAAATATTTTGATTTCATTATCATATTTATTATCATTCATTTCATACTTCATTATCATTATCAAAATCAATATATATATATATATTTTAAACACATACATTAAGAGTCACAAACTAATATTTAAGTAGGAAACAAACATTAATATTATCACCATCAGAAAAAATATGATCAATCAAAATTAGATCAAAATTATTAAAATCCGTTAGGAAATTAAATAGAAGTTATAATTAGAAAAGCTTTTGAGTTTTTCAAACAATCAAATAGGTTTTTATATTTTTATCATTCTTTTCATAAACATAATTTGACATATTGAAATAATTTTCTCACTTAAATATTAATTTGCAATTATTAATATGCAATTTCTTATTCAAATTCAATTTTTATTAAGAATTGCAGGAACACATATTAAAAGTGTTGATACAAAACCCATGTACTGAAACATCACATACTCAAAGTAAAACAAACAGAAAACACACTAATGTAAAAAATAACAATACTAATTTGTTCCATACAGTAGAGTAATTAAAGCCAAGAATATGCTGTGCAAAATTTTATACAAAAATTTAAAATATTTTTGTTCAACTGCAATTAAAATTACTCTAAATTATTTTCAAAAGATAAAAATAAAAGCATTTTAAACAAAACATAAAAATTTTATTTAGTTTCTCCCCAACAAAAATTAAAGAAAATAATAATGAAAACTTGGAAACAAGTTGATGTTGATTGATAGCTAACATCTTATTATTAATGAAAAGTGTTACCCAGAAATATACAAACAATAGGCATTAACTTGTTTTACAGAAATTAGAATAAAAAGAAAAACCAACTTTTCTAAAGCATGTGCAAAACAAAACATACACAGTTGTAAGACAAAGAAAATTTAACAAAAAATTCTTAATAGCTTATAAAAATTTAAAATTCTCATTTGACTCATTTCTCATTCATCATGAAACAACCTTTCATGTGGTATCACAACTTTGTGCATAACACAATCCTTAACATTTAACGTCTTGTAAATCCAAAACCTGAAATAATGTTTTAAATTTTTACATGAAGACAAAAAATGTTGTTAGCCTCTCACTAATTATTTAAATATTTTACATTATTTATAAACCCCATGAATAATGACAATATGAAAATGCAAATGTATATTATGATACAAGATTGAAAAGAAGAAGAAATAGTACAATATTGAATGGATGATTGAATTAAAATTGATAATTGGCAATAGAATCAAGTGTCTGATTCTTGATCTGGATCTGAAACATAGTAAAAAAACATCAATCAGTCAAAAATACTATTCATAAAGACAGACCAAAATTATTTTATTTTAAAACATATTTTTTTAATTATATTTATTTTAATTATTTTACAAATTAAAAAAACATATAGATTTTAGAATGTCAAGTGAAATAACTATCACTAATTTTAATTAATCTTCTGCTCAGAAAATGAATCTTGATAACTCAAACATCAATTGCGTTATGTTTGAATGTACTTTCGTCATAAGAAATAATACTTTTTAAAAGAATAATATGCTATTTTCAGAATTGTTGTAATTAACAGTTACTTGTAACTGTTATGTTAAATTTTATTAACTTTAACCAGTGCCCTCTATATTGAATTTTATTAAAAACAACATTTAAAATCACAAATGGTAAAATATTTATTAAACCCTAAACGCATTATGGAATAAAGAAGACAAAAAACAATTATATAAACCAAAGAACCATAAAAGTTAGAACTTATTTCAGAGACCTTCAAAAAGGTTTGGAGAGCTTCAAATATAAAAAACATGACAAAAATAGATGTTTTTAAAGTTGTTGTTCATTCCACACTTTTGTATGGAGCTGAATGTTGGAAACTCCGCAAAACTGATATAAAAAAAAAAAAAACTGGAAACATACCAGAGCAAATGCTTAAGAATTATTTTATAAATTTTTATTATACAACACTATTTTTAATAAAGATCTACTAACAAAGGCAAAATCATCACCCATTCATGAGGAAATATTGAAGAGAAGATAGACTGGACATACCCTTTGTTGTGGACATACTCAACAAAGGAAAGGCAAACACACAAATTTTTTAAGGACCCTAAAACATCAAGACTGCAGGCCAACTTCTACTTAAATCAATTTTTAATTGGCCATGGCGTATTTGGCACCCACCAATCAAGATTTTTTAGAAAATCCTCAATTTGTACTTATTGTGACTCTCAACGAGATATAATACACTTGATTTGCCACTGCCAAAAATTTCATGCACAGGGTGGCACGGAATTCCAGGACAAAACAGAACATCAGCTATTCTCAAACTTGACCTGCAGAAGAATTATTAAAGAAATCATCAAAACTACACTTGAGGACATGTTAAATACACCAGATTCAATAACCTAGCTGTCACTCCACCGTGTCAACCAATTCTTTCAACTCATCTTACAATATTTGTTTTAGTCAGACTCTCTGGTTATCCATGTATTTTGAACGTTTTAGTATTTTAAACTGTTTGTGATTCTAATATTTTGCTTCAATTTATCATATTCATTTTCTGATACTTAATTTTAGAGTTAAGATGAATGTTAACTTCTGTGCTTTAGGTTAAAGTTACATTAATTAGGTTCGGTGCTTTTTGTTAAAGGCGTTTTACTATGCCTTTGTATTTTTTGCTTTAAATTTTTTCATATTGTACTTTTTATTTTATATGCCATTCTTACTTGTTGCTAATGTAATTTTTTGTGTTTTATGTATGTTTTGTATGTAGAACGTATGTTCTACTCTCGTGTGCCCTTGAATAGGGTGGGTCGAGATACGAATAAACAATACCCTTTGTTTAAAATGGGATATCCCTAGGATAAATAAATTATGAGAAATTCTTCTGGTATACCCCTTCTTGTCTTTAATAATAGCACAGACCCGGACAACCTGAAATTATTCCTTCCAGGACGAAAGATTTCGCTAGTATTAAAACTTTCTTTTTTTCAATATTCAAGAAATTCTGAAGTTATATTTAAAGTCATACTTAAAGAACTTTAAACCACATCGCAATGAACGTCAAAATTCATTGTTTATTTATTAAACTCAGTAATCACAACATAACAGCAATCAAGGTATGCAGGTTCCTTAAAGGAGATACATTTGCCATGAAACAACATAATTAGATGTTGGAAATTAACTTAAAAAAATAATGAAAAAAGAATTTTTTTTAAAGCAACGATGATAAATACAATATGACTTCTGAACCTACCTTCCTCTGAATCAACAGAAGTCTTTCTTTCTAAAACACAGCTACGGCTGCTCCTTCTAAGTGAAACTGCATTTTCTTCTTTATAATGCCTTGGTTTGTGAACTAGGGGGTCTTTTTGGGATTTGCTTTTCCTAGACTTCTTAGGAGGTTTCACGCCACTGAGTTCCATTTCGTCTAATTCTGGTGATTCCTGTTGTTGTTCAGCTAGAATTTACAAGAAAGATTCTTTTTTAATAAAATTAAATACCTCACCTTATTCTTAATTTCATGATAGGGTTTTTGTGACATGCATCATTGTATGCTAACTGGATACTACTAGTAATGTGTTGAAAGACAGATTTAGTTTGATGAATGACTATAGTAAAATTGCATCATAAATTTAAATATGATAATATTTATGTAATTTTTCTTACAATATATATGAAATACATTATTTAAAATGCATTTTTATTTTCTTAAAATATTTAAATAAATTTTAAAGAATTAGCTTTGAAATATATTTTAAAATATTAAATTTTTGAGAAAAGGTAATTATTACATTATTCTTTAAAATATCACATTTATAGACATTCAGACCAACAACAGTCACAACGTATGATATTGTAGTTTTTTCATAAATTTTAGAAACTAAACTCTTAATAAAGAAATACTGAGAAAATTTTTCTTCTTTTTTAACTATATTCAGGGATGAGAGTAGTCAGAAAGTAAAAAACAGGAAATCCAAGAATGAGTAAATATATTTCTCATAATTATTTTTATTTGTGCGTATGTATAAATATATAAATATATATATATATATACACATATATGTATATTAACCATGTGATTATAAATCCCGAAGATTAATTTTAAAATTGTATGAATATATGAATATGAATTCTGATATATGGCTTTTAAATCCCGTGAATATGAAACTCTATAAAGAATTTAAAAAATGCGAAAATACAAATCATGATGCATAATTTTTAGATCATGTAAATACGAATCACGATACATAATTTTTAAATCACGTGAATACGAATACCAATGTCTAATTTTCAAAGCACGTTTAAATACGAAAATCGATGCTTGATATTACAAGATATAGCTAAAATAGAGAAATAGCTAAGGAGAAAATAGCTAAAATAAGTAAAACGGTTAGCAGCTAGGACGTAGTTTGAATTTTATGTCAATCTTTGAAAATCGTAAATAAATATAATTATTTTATTGCAACAACTGCATTTTTTAAAAAAAGCGGGATATTTATTATAAAGAAACCCGAAACTTTTAGAGAATTTGAGTTTTTGATAAAAAGGCTGCAATTCGAGAGACAAAAGCGAAAAAATCTTATCCCTGTATAAAGGTCAACCAGTTTTATCCCAAGGAAATGATTGTTAGAGAAACTTCAAAGGGAGGAATGAGGACTTCCAATACTTTCGCTCCGTGGAAAATTAAATTCCTCATAAAATATTTTAACTTGTGCAAAAAACATTTTCCGTGGAAATTAACGGGAAAAATCTGAAAATAAGCGGAAATCCGCGGACGAATCACATCCCTGAATATTAAATAAGATATGGTTAATTAGTAGCCACTGTGATGCCACATTAGGCATTACATATTTCCTAGGTTTTAAAATTTCTCTAATTTCATAAATTTCTTTTTTTTTTAAATCTAATTTTAATTAAATTAAACAAATTATTTAATTTTTATTACATATTATAAAAAGAAAATATAAATATTTTATTCAATTCTTAACAATCAATGCAACGGCCAACTTTTTAATTCAATACAAATATAAAACAAATTAATTCACTGTCGCGACTAAATCAAAATCTATTTATAACTCTTTATTTCTTAAGTTACTTTATTTCTCTTACCACAAAAATGTTTCAGTTACATGATTATATTAATTTACAGTGTTTCTAAATGTAATTGTAACTGTTTAAGCTAATTAAATCAAATTAAGTCAAAATGTAATTTTCAGTGTAATGAGTGATAAAGCTATAGGCAAATTATTTTGAATCTGATATCAATTATAGGAGGTTGGCTTTGCTTTTGGCTATTTTATTTTTCAATGAATCATTAACTATGGATCTTGTCCCATGATCTTAACTGTCTGTATATAACACTTAAATTACTTTTAATTTTGAATTCTTGGCGTTAGGATTGGGGAGTTTCACTCCATGGTCGATCTGATTATTAATTAACTTAAGAGAAAATCTCCATGTTAGAATATGCATTTCTTCATCCCAATAAGGGAGCTTTTTATTTTTGATATGATAGCCATGATGTATCTAATATTTTATAACAGTCATTGAACAGCCAACCCAATTTTGGGCTTATGACTACTAACGTTCCACTCCTAGCTTTGTAATTGCAATCCAGAAGCATAGCCAGCAATCAAGAAGACAAGGAAACTTCTGGATCAGTACCCCCAGAGGTATGATTTTTTATGAGAACATGGAGGATTTTGTGACTCAACAGATTTAATGTGCAACAGTCACCATGTACTACACGGGGGAGTCTTCGGGTAGAGGGGATCAAACCCACAATCTCTTGGACATGGGCTCAGTGCCCTACCAACCAGGCTATCCCGACCCTTCATGTACCTAATATTAATATTTCTAAAAATAAATGAACAAATCGTTTTTTGTAATAACTTTGGAATTAATCCTTATGTCATAAGGAGCGCAATTTACCAAAAATCATTTGTATTTCAGTCAAAATCTTCACTAAAACGCAATAAATTTACCTCCATCATATGAACTGGAACAACTTCCAATTAAATAACTAAAATGAACATAACCTCCATCAAAGTCACTTACAACAGTTATCTAATAGTTTTACTAACTTTAATGAATTTTATTAAGTAACCAACACTATTATAACTATAAGTACCAATTTAAAATAATAATTTAACTACGAAGAATAAACAAATTTTACCTTTATGTCTATTTTTATAACAGTTACTTATAACTTAAAAACATAAAAAACAAAAACGGTTTGTGATTTGTTTATTTTTGTTGGAATGGGAGAAAGTGTGTAGGCAATGTTTATGCAAGATACTCAATTATCTTCATTGAAATAAAAATTATTTGTAAATTGTAAAAAAGACGTAAATTTTGTAAATAAACACATTAAAAAAAATTCTTATATATGTATGGAAAAGAATTTAATTTACTTTTTTAAAGGCAGAAGGGGTGGATTAAATAGTCCCATAACCATTGCGTAAAAATATACACTTACTTTCTTCAGTTAGCGAGTTTTCTTCTACCTTGACAATAATCTTAGGTGGTCTACCCCTTTTCCTTTTAACTCCAAATGGGCTGTGTATAGAATTATACATTATAAAACTTAGATAAAAACAAACATAGCCAAACGAATGCATGCAATAAACAATAGATTATATATTAAATATTATATATATACATATATATAAATTATAAAAAAAATTTATATAAGAACTTAAAGACAATCTAGGAAAACTTAGTATTAAATATAAAAGTATAAACAAAAAACGCAAAAACTCAGAAAAAAGCATTATATAGCAAATTCTAAAAGTGCAAGGTTTCGTTCATGCAATATGGTGAACAGTAGCTGTACGACTTGTAAAATTTGGTTGGAACCTACACTCAGAACCGAAAAACGAACAATAAGCATGGAGAAATATTTAAGAACAAAAAATAAGCACATTTACAAACATAATTATAAATTTTCTAAATCATTAAAAACTCATAACGACAGCTAAGCTGATACGATAATATTGATTGAAGATGACACACCATCAATGGATGTATTATTTTCAGGAAAAAAAAAAGAAACGATTATCTATCATTTTTTTTTCTCTGCATGAAATTTAAACCCTTTTTTTTTGTTTTAAATTTAAATTTTGCATTTTTTAGATTTGTGCCGTCCATAACACCTTGCACATTAATGTTTTTTTTTTTTATATCCATTGATAACGTGTCACGAATTTTCGATGGTTTTGAAAGTTTGTGGCTGTGCTTGGACATGTGCCGGAACTTGCTCTTTGTGTTATTGTTCTTTTTTCTGTTTCTAAGTGAAAGGGTCCAGAGAACTACAACATAGCTTACAGTTGCTGCTGTTTGCCACATCACATTGCATAAATGAAACCTTATATTCTTGTAATCAGGAATGTAAAGACATTAGCTGCTAAGGAGTTTTAGCACTTATTCCTTTATATTTTGATTTTTGTCAGCTGCTCTAATGTGTATATCCATTAGAGATTGCTTACATACCAAGATTGGCAAGTTTCTGCCGAGGTGGTAAAAACCACTGGTAGAAACCGGTTAAAACCAGCATGGCAAAAACCCTTTTCCGCCAAATTTGTGGCAGAAACTGGGAGAAATTCAAAAAATGACAGAAAAGTAAGTACTGAGATTGACATATAAAGGATAATTCATAGAAAAAACAATTAAATGTTAAACAAAGTACAATTTATTTACAGAATTATCACCATTCAAAATCAAATATTACATTGTTTGTACTCTGCAATAATATATAACAAAAGACAAGTTTTGATGCAGTTTCTAAACCTAAACAATTTCTCAATTTGCTATGCACGAACGAGAAATTTGAGAAGTTTCTCTCAAATTCAGCAGGCATTGCCATTCACAAAAGGTTCAAAACGTTACTGTTATAATAATTGGATTGTTGCCATGCAAATTATGTCTTGAAAAGAAAAAAACTATCTGAAAATAGCTCTATTCAGTTATGCTAAGAGTTAAATGATAATTACTGAATTTCAGAGTTTAATATAATAAACTAAAATCTAGTATTTATATTTATTATTACATTACTTTATTCTTCATTTTATATAAATATTTGATATACTGCACTCTTTATATTTAATATAAATAAAATAATATATATTTACAAACAATGAATTAGAGTTTGTTACAGTTACATGGAGTTAAATTTTTCAGTTTACTTAAACAAAATGTCATTAAGCAATTACTAGAACTAATATAGAAGTTTTTTTTTAGTTTCTGCCAGTTTTTGGCGGTTTTTACCGGTTATAACCAGTTTCTGCCACTGGCATGGCAAAAACCAGTTTCTGCCGGCAAAAAGTCAACCCTGTTACATAGACACACACATATATAGATATACACACACAGGTGTGTATCTTGACAGCCACATGGGTGGAAAAAAGGAATTTCTGGGCAGAGTTACTTGATGTGTCTCGAGGGAGAAAACATCTCCCAGTCATGTTAATAGATTAAAAAGAAATATTACAGATTTATTATAATTAAAAAATAAATTTTTTGTTAAAATTTATAAGTCTACTGTTGTTTGACTAAGAATACTATATAAATAATTTAAATATTTAATAATTAATACAGAGAATAATTCTTTAATTACAGAAAGTAAATTCTTTTTAGTGGTGCTAATCAGTTATTTTTTTTAAAAATATAATAGGATGATTTGAAATGAATAATAAAACATTCACATACCCATTGGCCTTCAGACTTGATGCAGTGTACTTTTTTGCTTTAGTTTTGCCAATTAATTTTTCTTGTTCTTCAGTAAGAGGATGAGATGAAAGCAATGAAGGCCAAAGAAAAATTGATAAAAATCGTTGTTGCAACAGATTAAATGCATTTCTAGACTCCACTAGCTCCTCACAACAACATTCGTCAGATGGAAAACCAACTTCAACTTCAGCAGCTTTATGCATACTGTCATCTATGACTAAATGTCTCGTTTGCTATGCAGAAGAAGTAAAAAAAAAAACTTTTTAGAATATTAATAATTTAAAAAAGAAACAATATGCAAAAGAAGTAAAAAGAAATTTTAAAAAATATCAAATGTAGAATGGCACAAAAAAAATGGAACAAAAACATCCAATTTACTCCAATTATCAATAATAATATTTGAGAAAAAAAAATTACAAAAAAAGGAAGAACAAAAATTGGTTTAATTCTTTTAACCTCATTCAAAGGATTCATCTCGACTAAAGATTCTGCACATAGCCATTTTCAGCCCTTGAAAAATATAACACACTTTTATATGTTTCAAGGACTGTCTCGACTAAATGTCTCGTTTGCTATGCATAAGAAGAAGAAAAAATTTTTAGAATATTAATTATTTAAAAAAGAAACAATATGCAAAAGAAGTAAGAGATATTTTAAAAAATATCAAATGTAGAATGGCATAAAAAAATGGAACAAAAACATCCAATATACTCCAATTATCAATAATAAAATTTGAAAAAAAAATTGACAAAGAAAGGAAGAACCAAAATTGGTTTAACTCTTTAACCTCACTCAAAGGACTCGTTTAAACTAAAGATTCTGCATATAGCCATTTTCAGTCCTTGAAACATATAACACACTTTAGTCATAGATAAATTGAGCCTAATTTTCCTAATAATAGCCTTTGCCTGATTGCATTAAGATTGAAAAACTTTGAATCAGTAAAAATAGTGTTGCAGATTGAAAGTCACAGTAAATTCTGCTACAATGATATGCATATCTATAACAATTAATACTATTTTAATATTCCCTTATTAATAACATATGATAATTTATGTATGCAAATTATTTTATATTGTTATTAATATGTTCATGCATGTAAAATATTTAAAAAAATCTCAATTTTTATAAACAAAGTTTAAAATTTTTATTACTGTATTCCTAATCAGCTAATTCTTTTAGTACCCTTAATTATTTAATTTAAACTATTTCTATAGCTATTTCCCATCTATAAGCAAGAAGTGATTTAAAAGTAGATTACATTATACTACAATATGCTTTAATGTGATAAAATTATGTTCTTTTATAACTGATGAATTCTGTACATGAAAATAATAATTGAAAATTTAAACAACAATTGTATTAATTTAACTTTAAAGTTAAATTATTATAATAAAATGATTACTCACCATTGACTTCAAAACTGATTCCAATACTTCATTATTAGCATTGCGGCCAGGGCCTCTGCATTTTGAACATTTTGGCTCTTCCGCAGAGTGTCCAATTAAGTACTTCAGATAACTTCGACTCTCATTAATATAGCCAGCAGTTCTTCTTAGTCTTGGTTTAGTAACTTCCATAACCTCTAAGGCACTTAACGTAGAAAAATTGGGACATAAAACAGGTAGCTGCTCTGGATTATCTGGTTCAGGTTGAATAAAATAACGAATCACATTAGATAAAGTCTCCTTATATTCCGGTTTTTCATTAACTTCACTTTCTAGAGTGTCTTCACAATGCATTTTCTAGTATGAGAAAGAGACATTTTATCAATTATAAGCAATAAGTAAACAACAATTAAAAACTAAAAGTATGCACCCTATGGCAGAATTGCGACGAAAGTGTCACAGAAAATTACAGAGTGCTTGCACTAGGATTTTTCCTTTGGGAAGTAAAAAATTTGGTTTTCTATTCACGAAAGATTTTTTTTTTCCCCTTCGGAATTATATTCAAAAGATGCCTTTCTTCCACATTGAAGGAGGAAGAACTGATTGCAATTTTTCTATTCTCATTTGAGAATAAGGAAAAATAAAGAATAATGGAGTACAAAAAGAAATTGTTTTTCTGCAAAAATTTGTGAAAGCTTTTTTTTTTCTTCTCTGGAATGATATTCAAAACATGCCTTTCTCTCGCATAAAAGGGAAAAGAAAAGCTCGTAATTTTTCTATTCACATTTGAGAATAATGAAAAATAAAAAATAAGGAAGAAAAAAATTTTAGTTTTCTTTTCTGCAGAAATTTTTGAAAGATTTTTTTTCTCCAGAATTATATCCAAAAGATGCCTTTCTTCCACATCAGAGGAGAAAAAAATGCTTACAATTTTTCTATTTTAATTTGAGAATTAAGAATAATAAAGCAAAAAAAATGTATACATAGTTTTCTTTTCTGTATAAATTTCTGAAAGCTTTTTTTTGTCCCTGAAATTATATTCAAAATATGCTTTTATATTCAAAAGATGTCAGATTAAAAAAGTCCTCTGAATAACTGTTAGTAAGCATTGATGAATAAAAAGCCACAATTCCAATAACTTACAATTGAAGAGAAGATTCTATACAATACATACTATTTTACAAAGAATTGTTTAGACTTGAAAAACATCTAAAATAATTAAATTATTAAAAGAATAAAACATTTAACTTTTAGAGTATTGTAAGTTCTGTGATATTTTAACACCTCTTCTAGATGAAAATCATTAAAAATAATAAATGATTCTTTATTTTAGCTTATTTTTACAACTTCAAACAATGCAATGAAGCAGTATCTATTCTCACAATAAAAAAAAATTGAATACAAATATTTTCCTTTTGCACAAGACAGTTGCCTTTCTTCATATTCATGTTTTGTGGGTATCAATATCAAGAAAGTTTGTTTTATCATAAGGTGAAGTTCATAAGATAACCTAACTGTCATAAATATATATTAAAAACACACAACAGTTATATAAACAGCTTATTATTAGCTAAAATCATTATTTTATTTGAGGACAGATAATTTAAAGAATAGCCTTCTTTGCAAAAGTTTTTAGCTATTTTCAACACTTTTCCTAATAATCAAATAAAGTAAACCCTTTTTCTGAAAAAAAGGTTTGATGAGAGAAATATATTTCTTTATTCTTACAAAAACAGACAAAATTTCGAAAAAGAATAAAACACAAAAAACATATCAAATTTTAAGTTAATACGAAACAAATATTTTAAGTTTATAACAAGAAATTTTCTTTATCATATCGCAGTAAAACATTTGGTTATGCAACATTTTAAAAAAAAGTTTAGAGAATAATAGAATGTTAGTAACAAAGTTTTAATAAAATAAGAACAAATTACTAAACATAAAAGGAAAACATTAATATAATTATTAAAAACGTATAAGAAAACTGATCATAGAAATTTCAAAGTAACGAAGCGAGTGCTTTAAACAAATAGCTGGTATCCAACCTCTCTTTTTAACAATTCAAAGATTTGAAGTTTCATTTAATTATTTAAACATTCAGAAAAGTTTCATTTATGTATTTGGATAGAAACATTTTCAGCGATGTAGTAATTCCTACAAAAAAATTAGTAAAATAAGTTTGTAAAAATGGCCAAAAAATTGAAGCATACCTTACGTAAAATTTTAAAAAGTAAAAATTCAATTTCTTTTACAGATATTCCATATGGCAAAAACATGCAAAATTTAAGATAATTCAAAGAAAAACAAGACAAAAATCAAGTTTGATAGTAAAAATCAAGTTCAGCATACCTTTCTTAAAAAAGACCTATAAAAATTATATTCAGCAGTTTCCCGGGCATTCATACCTAGAAAAACATATAATTACATACAATGACAAAAAGCAAACAAACATGCCACTTGAACAGCATCAATTAGTCAGTTAAAATAATATAATTAGAAATGTATAAGTACAGTTTGGAGCAAATACCAAATGCATTTTCATTCATAAAAAAATTGTTAAATATTAGTATCTTAAAGCTTCAGCTTATAAAATAACAAAACAATAAACATAAAATGATAAAAAAAAAGCTAAAATCTAACTTGAACCACAATAATATAATCAGGTTCTGCTGGTCATCAAGTGGTAGCTTTCAAACATTTGTAATTAAAGGTATGGTATGCTGACTTAATTTGGTGTTTTGGTCTGTGATTCTGTCAAGAAGTAGCATATAGTCAGTCTATGGAAAGAACTCCCCCTCGTCATTAGTTTGGAACAATGGCAATAACTATGGTTGCAAGGTTTACTATTTCAAGTATGGGTAATGGGTCATTATTTAAGATAGATTTTGGTTCTGTCGGCAAAAGAATGAGAATCAGAGTCGAAAGAAGCACCCTTCTATTAAACACACTATTTCTTTTTTTCATAGCAGCAGACAGTTTTAGATACTGTGGTAAAGGGAGTTCTTTCTATAGGCAAACTATACATTATTTCGATTGGGAACATTTTTCATCTAAATTTGCATTTAGAACTTTTATTTAGTTGATAGAATAATCTCATCAACAATGGCTGGACAGCCAATCTGCTTATGATAAATATGTTACATAATCTTGTCAATTAAAATTCAGCAACAAAATTCAGGGTGCATACAGAGAGAAGACGAAATCCAAGGAGCTCAAACTTTTAAGGACTTATCAAAAATTTAAAAACTTTACAAAAATTTAACTTTGCGTAAAAGATAACTAGACAGTTTTTTTTTTAATTAATAAGCAGTTATTATAAGGAACTTGCAAAAAATTATATTTTACATATTTTTTTCTAGTCCTTAATGAAATAAATTTCGACTTAGTCAAACTTCATCAAGAAAATAAATAAAGTTATCACTTTTACACATAAATACATTTTCCAGTTTCAAATATTTCAATAAATCTTGTTGAAGTACAGCTGTTAAAGATTAACATAAAAACCTACCAATCTTATATTTTTAAATTTGAATACATAAGAAAATCCAAGGCATTTTATAGAAAAATTGGAAATCTAAGTAGTTCCAATTACTCCTTGGAGACTTTTTTATTTCCAAGGAGTTTCTAAGGAGTATAAGGAGTCTGTACGCACCCTGAAAATTTTGATTTATGCAGAATTTAAAAAGCAATTTTCATTAGTTTGCATAAATTTAAATATTGTTCAGGCAATTATTTAAATATTGTCCATAAACTGTAAGCATTAAAAAAATAATAATAATAGCAGTAACATATTATTAGTTGTATTAAACAGACAAGTTGTTTCTAATGATACTGTGAAAAGCCAAACTGTCCAGACATTTATCTTAGGAATACATCAAAAAAGAGTGCATTTCATTTGACAAGCCACAAGAGTGAAAGTGCGATTTAGCTCAAAACCCCTTAGATAAGGCAGCACTACTCGTTTATGATGCAAATTCCACAATTTGACATAAATCTGAAGAATGAAGGATATTTTTCTAGATCCCTACACCCCTGGTACAGCTCAGCAAATAACCACAGAATTTTTCATTCCATAGATTTTCTGAGTACGTATATCGCACATACCTAGTGGATCTTAGCAGATTTAAGAATCTAACCTTGGCCACTCTATCAAAGGGCTATAACAGTCTGAACAAAATAGTAAAATCCTGAACAAACTAGAGGAATTTTTCAGTTGCCAGTTATTTTGACCAGTGCTTAGGTCTTATTTCTACTACTTAATAAATAAATAAATAATGCAACAAAATAATTGAAACAAGATTAAAGACATTTGTCAGTAAATTCAGCTGAATGATACTCACAAATAGGACCACTAGTCATCATAGAAGGCATCAGATTAGCTTCTTCACGCAACCTGTCTTGCAAAACATTATATAACCAGAGTCTATCAGTGCTATTAAGAAGGATATCATCATCATCTTCTTCTGATCCATCAAGTTCCTCATCTTGATCTATAGGTTCCTTTTTGGGTTTCTTTTCTTCATCAGTGCTTACATAGTCATCAAGCTCAAAGACTCCCTTCCTCTTTTTACAGACTGAATCGGTTTTGCTTTTCTGATAACATTCTGGAACATATTTGGGAACCCATTCATCGTCATTTTTATCTGAAATTTTACTGAACAACTCCTTTTGAAGTATTCGCAAAGAGGGCATCGAAAGATTAGAAGTACCAAATTTTTCCTGCATATAAAAAAAAAAAAATCAGAAAAATTGAAATGGTTCAAAAAATTGCATGCGTAGTTTTTGAAAGATAAAAATACAGTCGAACCTCGATTTCAGGAATTTTTCGATATCTCGAAGAAAAAAAAATTCCCTTCAAATTTCCTATACACTCAATGATTAAAAAAACTTGATTTCACAAATTTTTTTTTCCAATCCCTCGATAACTTGAATTTTTTTCCATAAATAGTGTAGATTTTTTTTCCAAAATTAAAAAAATATTCCAAAAAAAATACAAAATTTTAAGAATGGCTGACAAGGCATGGAATGATGTGTCTTCCTCTACGATAATGAATGGCTTCAAGAAGTCTGGATTCATTAAAGATCACGAAAGTAGTCAAACAATCAATATCATTAATTCTGCTGAAAACTACACTGAAAATGATTGGAACAGATTGACCGGACTTATGAAGCTTGATGACATGGAATTTCATGACTTTGTAAACGTAGATGATGCAGTAACAGTGTGTGGTCAGTGGGATGACAATGATATCATCGCTCAAACAAAAGCTTCTTGTGAACTATCAGAAGAGGATGAGGAAATCGAAAATTTACCGCCCAATGTTCCTAACAAACAAGCACTTTCTCCAGTGGGCACTGTAAGGAGATTCATTGAGAGGCAGCCGAATATGTCAGAGGAGACATTTAAAGCTATAGTCCACTTAGAAAGTGTTATAGACAAACTTTCTTACACATCTCTAAAGCAAACAATTGAATCTTTTTTAAAATGAAAGTGCAAAAAGTATTTTTAGAATAAATATGGAATAGTAAATAATGTATGTAAAGAGCATTTTTCTTTATTCTACCATTGATAACATGCGATTTACGATAATTCGAATTTTCTATATCTCGAGTTTCTTCTACTCTCCCTTCAAGTTCGAGATATCGAGGTTTTACTGTATTCGCAAATTGCAATAGGAACGGTGATAAAGAGATATAACTAAAAACTTAGGTCAGTAAATAAACTAAAAATATTCAAATTAGAAAAAATAAAACTTATATAAATCACAAATAAAGTTGTTGTTAAAATTCTTAAAAAAGCCACTTAACTGTGAAGCACAACTTTTATCTGTTTCACTTTTTGTGACAATTGCAAATGTAGAATGTGATATTTGTTTATTTTTTGTGATACATTGCTACAAAACTCTGATACAACAAAACTTTTCCGAATGCCTACACTAGTTTACATAATAAACAACATATTAAACCATTTTGAGCATTACGAAGTACACAACCCTTTTAGAATCTAAATAATTCTCTCACAAATATATTACTTTTAAAAAGTACAGTCGAGCATAGAATAGTGATACGTTAATTGACTGGATCGATTGAGGATCACATATTTCTTTCCTTGCCTTACATAAAAAAAAGTTAATAAATAAATATTAAAAAAATTATATATCACTAATATTCTTTCTTTCGTGATTTTCTAAGACAACTTGAAAAATTACTTCTTTGCTCACATTTTTTTGTCCAATTTCAATAAAGGAAGAAAGTAGACAGAATCAGTTCTCCCAGTAAAGAAAGAAGTTTCTTCCAAATATTAGAATGCGGAGGAATAAGATTTCCAATTATATTTGCTATTGAATCAAATCTTTTGAGTACACACATTATTTTCTAATAAGTTTCATAGGTAAAGGATAAATTTTCAAATGTATCTGGAAAGTACAAACAGACACATTAATGTTCGCGCCAATAAAATGAGAATGTCAAAAAATTAAGTCTAAAACAACAGAGCACCCAAACATGGCATTAGCATATTAACTGTATCAGAAAGGAAAAAAACTTATTATGAATTATAATAGTTAGTCTTTAGGCTGAAAAAAATATAAAATTGGCTTAAAAAGAGAGCCAAGGCCTTGTTTTTCAGTTGTGCAACTATTTGAATTTTAAATGAACTGGATAAACCTTGGTCTTGACTGATTCAGATAATTAGTGCTCTGTAGTTGCAAAAAATAACAGATCCGTAAGAAGAGACTGCATAAGTAAACATTAAAACAGCTAAACGATTTCTGATTTATAAAAGTTATCCAAAACACGTTAAAAGAGAAGACTATCAGAAACACTTTTAAAATGCAATGCTATCATAAAAACGCCAAAAAAATATAAATTATTATATACAAAAGCAAAACAGGAAAAATAAAAATCAATTTTAATTTCTAAAAGAAAATTTTAAAGCTAAACATCTCAGTTTTCTGNACGATTTCTGATTTATAAAAGTTATCCAAAACACGTTAAAAGAGAAGACTATCAGAAACACTTTTAAAATGCAATGCTATCATAAAAACGCCAAAAAAATATAAATTATTATATACAAAAGCAAAACAGGAAAAAAAAAAATCAATTTTAATTTCTAAAAGAAAATTTTAAAGCTAAACATCTCAGTTTTCTGATTACTGTAATTTCAAGAAAAAGTTAAGTTTAAAGTCCAATAGAAACCTTCTTCAATGTTATATGCTCAACATGGAAAACATTTTCAACTGATTCATGATTGGTACTAATGCACTTACATTGTGCTAAAACAATAGGACAAGAGTGTGTACAGAGCACAAAGAAAAAATTAATAAATAAACAAACAAAACACCCTGAATAACTTTTAATCTAATGATCAGATTTTCAGACACTAAAATTTATTCTTAATGGTTCGAGAAGGTGCTTCAAATTTATTGGTGACCATATTTTAAGTTATGAAATCAATCACAAAAACGTACTTTTTCCGAATAAACATTTTTTTTCCTGATGAATTCTAAGTTAGTACCCCTAAAATATATGGGGTAGCCGCAATCTGGGAAATATTGTCCTAATAGTATGGTCAGGAGAGCAATCCAAAGTTTGGACCTCTTAATATTAATTTTACTTTTTGTGTATTTCACTATATATTGAAATTTTTTTAAGTGAAACAAAACATTTCTGCACACATTATGTAAAATTCGTTTATCATTAGATAATTCCATGAAAAAAATAATTTTCTATAATAATTCATTGTTTTATTTAATAATAGTCGAAAATTGTTTAAATTGTAAGGTATACAAATTTTTACATCATTTAAAAGAATGTAATTTTATGAGAAAAAAAATTCAGTATTTGAATTACACCAATAGAATGATTCTTGAGAAATCAAATTTGACAGTATGACGTTTTTAAACTTCAGTTTTGATTCAATGTTTATTCAGAGAAAGTAGGTTTTTGTGATACAGAAAGTAGATACCGATTATCAGTAGATACAGAAAAAAAAAAAATTTGCACTCATCCAAAATTAGAGAACTAAAAAAAATGCTGAAATATCACATACATGAAAAAGCAAATGAAACAAGAACTAAGAAGAAAAAAACTAAATTACAATTTTAATTAACGTACAAAATCTATCTTTTCATCAACCATATGCTGTATCTTTTCCAAAGCAGATTTTAATGCAGACATAGCACTGTTCTGAATGCCTTTCAGTCTAGCATTTTGTGTAACACAATTCTTTGAAGGAGCATTTGGCTTTAAAATTATTCCCCCTTTTTCATCACGTACTTTCTTCTTACCCTGTAACAATAAGAGAAAATTTGTATGAACATAGATTTAATGTAAAATAGTCACTCATCCCGATAACATACAGAAATATTTGGATTACAGTAACCAGGTTATATTTGCTCAATGACTTCTTTCCATTGCTTTGGTTTATTATGACAAAAATATTTGTCACAACAAACCAAGGTATTAAAAAAAATAAACCCTAATTATTCAAACATGATTTGATAATAATATACCTTTGCTACTTGACAAAACTCCATCATTATTACAAACCATGGAGCAAGGATCATTACTTTTTTTATTACATTTTATAACTGGTGTTCAACAGTCGACTGAATTCTGAGTATACAACCATCAATGTTCAATTTTGTAGCCTTGTCATATTGAACACAACCTGAAAGACTATGGAAATCCTGGATCAAGCATTGGGACAAATTGGACTTTGTGGAAGACTTTTTGATGGAACTTAACTGCATTTGTGCCATGCAGAGGAAAACTACGAAAACCTCACACTGTTAACCTGGCGGCAAGGAGATTCAGTCTACCACTAAAGATAGTTGACGTGTGCACTGTGCAGACATGTGATTGTTGGAAGAAGAAATTATCTGATTTTTTTTTCTCAATGTGTCTCTTTAGTGAATATGGAAACATTCACTTTAACAACAAACCCACCTGGACTGCAACAGATGTTGGCATATTATATTGAATTAATAAATTCACAAAGAAAGCCTAGGTTTTTATTAAATTTTTGTTTTTTCGTAGAGCCAGAAATCAATGGATGTTAAAAGAATCAAAATAGCTGTCTGGTTTATTTTCCAAGTAAATTTGACATTTTTCGCAGTATTTAAATAACACATGAAATTCCAGAGATGGTTCAAAACTTTCGGTGTAACCCACATTTGTTTTTGATAAAATGAAAGTACAGAAACAAATCAAGATATTTTTGTAAAAGAACTACTTTAGCAGTCATTCAAAAGGAAAAACAAGCGTCTATTTTTAAGATAATAAATGAATTATTTAATTTCAATTTTTAAGCATGAAAAAGAACAACACTTAAACAATAGTTTCAAAAGTTTTTAGCAGAATGAATAGGAGGCAGAGCTGCTAAGTTGATTAATAACTTTATAAACAAAACATTTATGATAAAAAATATTGAGACATTACTATACATCCCCTTGCCTTTTGCTCCTGTCAAAATCATGGGGTTAGCTTTCGTCTCCTATTTCTCATGCCCATATTTCCGGGCTAGAACATTAAAAAAAATTCAACAAAAAGGTTTAAATATATCCATCTCTTGTGCTCAGAATTTTTTTCATTTCTGATATTACACACTAGATTACTGCATCAGTTTATTTTTAATGTAACTGCAGACACCAGGCCAAAAAGAGACCAGCCAATCTCAGAGTATAATCCTAATAATTTGATTGAAAGACATTTTCTTAGACAGATATATTCAACTGATAAGAAACGGCAACCATCAATATGCAAAGTTTGTTGTCCCAGAAGAGATGCAAACATTAATAGATGAAGGAAGGAAACTCGATACTACTGTCCAAATTGTGATGTTGGCCTTTACATCTCATGCATTGAAGTTTATCATAAAAGAAAAAATTACTAATATTATGCTTAAGTTTCATAAATTCTGTTTTAATGTTAAAATCATGTATTTTTTAATTTCCCTTGCTTATTGGAAAACCAACATTGAATCTCAATAACCCTGAATGCTGGCTTCACCTAAAAAAATTTATGTTTTTAAATTACGAGCTAAAAAATAATTCCAAAAATCACAAGAGAATACATTTATTGTACATACACCTTTCTTTATATATATAATTTTCTTGAAAAAAAATAGGCCCATTTATGACCATTTTCTACAAAATAATAAGATTATTAAAGGGTTAGAAATTATAAAATAATTCAATATAAACTTAAATAGAATCATCAAAATAGGATTATAATAGCTAAAGTAGGCCAATTAATGAATGAACAATTTAAAAATATTCAAAATTCACTGAGTGTATGAAGTTAGAAAGTACCTTCTGAATACGTTTGGTGTGCAGTTCTAACCTTCGAGCACGGACCAAGCACATATTATCAGTCCTGCCTTCCATTTCACGAGAGATGAGAGCCCATTTTCCTAAACAAAGAAATTTTCATAATTGGTTTATTTAAACTAATCAAATGCAAAAAAGAAACACCTTTATTCCTAATTTTAATTATTGAGAGCTGTAATATATTTTTTTCTTATGGGGCACCGAAATTGAGGGTGTTTCTTACTCTAAATAGACAAAACTTGAATGATATATGAATGCACTAGACCTATTGCAACAAGGTTAGTGAGTTTTATTTAAAAAAAAATAATAAAAAATAAAAAAAAAAAGATCTGGGCTTTTTTACTAAAATCTTTATTTTTTAATTTTTTTCAGATCTTTCATGAACTTAATTTTTATAATTAATAACTAAGTCTAATCATAACCATGTTCCAGTTTGAAGAGCATGACAGAATTCAGTTAACAAATAAACCTGTTTATTCAGATGCATTTATCAGGAGTGTCACTTGATTTGATTGAAGTAAACTATACATAGTAATATAAAAATAGAATACATTTTTACATTACAATTACATTTTATAAAATCAATTTCCCTAAAATATTATTATAAATAAATTATATTTGAAAGTATGCTTATAAAAATTGTTTTACAGTAACACACGCCAATATATTGAAATAAAATATAGCTGTTATATTACTGTTACCCAATATGTTTTATTTTAATGTAGCCTGATGTGAATTCCCTAATATTGCTGAGTTTCTGTGTAACTGCAGTTTGACAAATGTTTTTATCAGGGTTGGGTTTTTGATGTCAAAAAGTGGTTTTTGACATGACAAGGGTATAATACNGTAACACACGCCAATATATTGAAATAAAATATAGCTGTTATATTACTGTTACCCAATATGTTTTATTTTAATGTAGCCTGATGTGAATTCCCTAATATTGCTGAGTTTCTGTGTAACTGCAGTTTGACAAATGTTTTTATATAGAATAATTTAACTTACTCATTCCTCAATTGTTAAAAAAATATATATATAACAAAAGGCAATATGAATTGATCTTACTCACCTTTCTCTTTAAATGTCATATTAAAATAATTTTATTTTAATATTGTATAAACTTAAAATTTCAGAAATATATATTTGTAATGATAAAATATAATATGGTTTAGATAGATAATGTTTTAAACATAAAAATTGGCAGAATTTCAAAATTGTGAGAATTATTATTGTTTGCTTATTTCTACAGGTTTAAAAACAATTTATGATCAGCTGAAAGAATGAATCATTGCCTAGATTTATAAATGACTAAAATGACTACTAATAATGATGCAATTAATAGTGGTTTGGCAGAATAACAGAATATTTAATCACCAAATATTAATTCACAATCAATACTTTAAATCAAGAAACTAGATTACTTTACATTGTTCTTATTAAACATCTTAACATTAAAGAAACAGTAAAAACAAATTTTTAATTAGTTCAAACATTTATCAAAGAAAAATACTCAGCCATTAATGCTAAACAAAAAATATCCAACCCTTAAATAAACTTTTTTAATATTATCTCACCAACTTATGAGTTTCAATTTATGAGCTGTTAACTGTTACACATTAATTATAATATAAATCAGTTCTTAAAGATGCTTTTGGAGATTATACTTGCAGTTTCAAAAGTTTTATAATTTTATTTTGCATCAAAAAATTTTCATACGGTTAACTAAAGAATATAATTTAATAATTTAAATATATTAAAATCAATGCACAAATAGAACATTATATATTTTGCCATTGCAATTATTTTTTATTCAACTAGTCTGAAATTATTTTTTGCGAATTTGATACTCCTTTATCTTGCATTTTTATGTTCCAAATGCATTTTCTAAAAAACAATCACTTTTAGTTCCAAAGGATTTTATTTTTAATTAAATCAAAGCGAATATTTCTCTCAGAAACACTTTTTACTTACATTTTATTTACTTCACACTTAAAATTTTAAATAGCAGTTATTTATATAATGAAATCATTTTTCATATATTGAAGATTAAATAAAATTAATGATTATTAAAATTATATTTATTTATGTACTTAATCATATTAAATTTAGATAAAATAAAATCTAATATTTGAAATAAAACTATATTAAAATTAAGCAAACATATAAATTGTATTGTAATAATAAACATATAATTGTAACAATAAACATATAATTGAAATGGCGAACATGTAATTGTTTAATACATAAAATAAAATTGAATTGTAGAGTAAATTAAAATATATTAATTCATACTGCTATAAATGTAAATAATTCTGTTTTTCATAATTAGCTTTACCATTTTGCAAAATTCTTAACTAATAGTACTAAATACAAAAAGAAATACATTTACCATAACCATGCTTTTTTAAGAGCTCAATTAAACGCAAATCTTCTGCGGTTGTCCAGGCACCAATTTTCAAAGCAGGATCCAAAGTATTAACAAATCTTGAGGGGCAAAAAAAAACATAACATAGAATAACAAATACATAATAACAAATTTACCAACAGCTAAATTTTAGAATATTTTCCTACAATAATTGCATAAGAAAAAAAAATTCCTTCAAGATTTCTTGAAGCAATTAAAATTCTTAATAAGAAATTAGTGAAATCAAAAATTTTAGGAACAAATTAAAACGGCTTCTCTGCATTGTTGTACACAAAAGTTTAGATTAGGGCAATTTCTAAGACATTTTCTCCTTTATGAACAACTTTTTCATTGAATAATATGGTTTTAGGCAAGAAAAACAGCTATGCAACAGCTCTTTAATTGACTGAGCATTTAAGAACCCTTTTTAGATAACACAAACAGTTAGTCAGTGAAGTCAAAACTTTAATACTCACCTAGTCAAAAAATACTATAATTACATGCTTATTTACCTCTCTCTGATGGTGTATGTAGATCGTCCAGGTAGAAATTCTTTCATTTTAGTCCACTGTTTGCCAAATTTTTGCACACAAGCAAGAATCATCTAATTTGAAACAAATTTCATACTTATTATGGCTGTTAAAAAACAATGTTTATGCATAGCAAAAATTTGGAAAAAAAATCTGTAAAGACTATCTTAATCAAAATTAATATCTATCAAAATTTTTTATTCAACTTCCTTATTGAAAATACATTATGATGCTACATTGGCAAGGCACACTTGTACTACACAATTATATTCATTCTATTTGTATGAATCATTGACTATGTTTTCCTTAAATTTACAAAGATGAAAAACTCTCTTTTTTTATTAACTTAATTTTAATAATTTTTCAAATTTAATTTTAACTGAACATTTCAATTTGATTTTCAAATATTTTTGCAAGAGCTGACTGAAGTACTTAGATATTTTTGAAAACTGATTAAATTATCAAGATATAAAAAAAGGAACATGTTTTGTCCAGTATTTCATTTAGTTTATCATTTAACTGTAATTAATATATAGATTTGTGATTGTTATACCATATATGAGTCTGTGAATATAAGGACTAATTATAATTTTATTAAAAGCAGGGTTGGGTTTTTGACNTAAACTGTCAAAAACTGTCACATGTCAAAAACCTGCCAACCCTGATTAAAAGTAACTATAATGAAAACATATTGAATATCTTTTTATCAAAATATTTGTGATTTTGTATTAGTTTTAAACCAACTACCAAAAATAAGCCTAACAAAAATTTAATTATTATTTCATAATTTTATCCCATTCATAAAGCAAGACTGATATGCATTTAATACTAAATGTAACAAGTTTCAAGTTCTAAATGTAACTGATAGTCAGTTGCATCATATCTGAAACGAAAAGAAAAACAAAAATCTAATACATAAAAAAAAAATTTTGCTAATCCACTTCAACAGTAATTCATCTTCAAAATGCTCTGGGAGTCCTACAATCTTTGACTACATTATTCTGTGTGTTTTACACTTATATAGCAAAAACAATTTTCTAATTTACCTACTGATCTATTTATTTACAACAGCATATTATTTACTAACATTATTTTTTAAATCTAATGAAATGGGGGCTGCTAAATCCTCTCTTTTCTCAAAAATAATTCAGTATAAAGAGAATTATTATCATGATTTATAACAAATGAAAACTCTTCAGTTATTCAAAGAATGACAACATTTAGTTACTCTACCACAACAAAGTTAGACTTTAATCGTGGTGGTAATAGACTTATGGTGGTAGTAGACCCATCATGGTAGTAGCCCCATCTAGAGGTCCTGAGGTGTGACGATGAGAATCAAGATACTAAGCTACATAATAGGTTATAATGCTCTTAAAAATATTATATCATATTATAATATAATATTATACAATAAATGTTTCATCATGGTATAAATTTTGAAATGTGAAAAATTTTAAATGCTTAATCACTATATTAATCTCTAAATGCTTAGTTACGATACAAAAATATAAATGCTAAACCATAATTTTAAATGTTAACTACTTGCAATAAATGTAAAATGCAATCATACAAATGGCTGTAAAGTAAAGCTGCTCGAAATTCTCAAAACATTTTAAAGAAATTTAACAAGTTGTTTCCTTTTACAGGGTATCTGCTACATTTTAGATTTTCAAATTCATGACTTTTCATGACTAATTCCAAGAATTCTTCATGACTTTACGAAGTTACTATTTTCTCCGACAAAAATACAATAGTAAATTTATAAAAGCATCATAACATTTATTGAACTGATAGGTGTAACCAAAACTTTTATACTCTGCATCTTCCTATTTATAGATTTTTAATTTAAAAAACAGAGAAAATAAAGATCTGAAGCAATAAAATAGCTGAAAAAATACAAAAGTAACTTTTTTCTTTTTTCCGCAGAATTATATTCTGAAGATACTTTTCTTGTTCAAGGGAAAGAAAAGAAATACTTCTGATTTTTCTATTTTCATTTCGGAATAAAATTAATTTGCCATTCACTGGCTTGATTCAGCTAGAATTTTAAATTGATGAAATTAAAAAATAAATAATAAAAATTCTGAAATCACATAAGTTTAAAAGATAATTTGCTCTAGAAATGTTTTTTTTTCTTGTCATTTTTTGAAAGAACACAATTTTTAAAGAACATGATAAAAACATTTTATATTTTAATAAAATATAACTGTGAGTGGGGAATTCGTTACGAATTCGGATATTCGGAACACTAAGAAATTGGGGGAGCGGTAAATTCCAGTTTAATAATTAGATTTTTTGGCGACCTAAATTCATGACTTTCCATGATTTTTTTTTAAAAAATAGTTAAAATCATGACATTTCATGACAAATTTTGCTCAGTACCGAAATTCAAGACTTTCCATGATTTTTCATGACTTTCCAGGTGCGCAGATACCTTGTTTTTAGGAGTAAAAATAAAAAATTATATACAATTGGAAATAAAACTTAATAAAATATAATGTATTTTATTTAAATTCCTTAACCAGAACTGAGCAATGTTAAGATTTTGGTATCATAATGTATCATCACTCTAACATCACGATATCTCAATACATCGCAATGTTTCGTTACATAAATGTTTTACATTGATGTTGTGTAATTGTGTAATTTTATATAGAAAAAAAAGGCGGCGGTCAGGAGGGAAGGGGACGTGCAGGATAAATAATAGCCGAAATAAGAAGTCGACCGCTTCAATAAATAAGTAATAGTAAACATTCTAAATATTAAGAGATTAAACTCCAAAAATATTTTTTGAAAATATATCATTCTCAATTTAAATATAATTCTAAAAAAAATTTAATAAACAATTTTACGTCGAATTTTTATTATTAAAATATCAAACTTGTTTCAAAATAGTATATAAAATAATAGAAATATAAGTAAAATGAAAATACAAATAATCCTAATATAACTTACCGCATCTTCCTCTGGTGTAAATGGTGTTCTTTTTATTTCCTTAGATATGGTTCTGTCATAACGATTCAGTATCTGGTGTCTAGTTCGTCCTTCCATATGACTGCATACTATCAAAATATTATATAAATTTTATCACAAAATTTAAGGAGCACATATTTATTTAAAATAAGTCATTATCTTTTGCCAAAAATTAGACAATTTTTAAATACATATTACAATATTGAGGCTAAAAATTTCCTTGACTTCTGTTTTACTTCAAGAGATATTTGGTCAAGTGTCCACTTATGAAATAGCAATGTTATTAATTTAATTAAAAACTAGATTGTTTTTAATCAAATAATTTGCACTAAACAGGCAAATTGAACAAATGAATAAAAAAATAAATTTAGCAATCAGACAGGAGAATACAGTTCCTACCATGATTCCAAGGTATAAAATTTCCAACTTTAAAAGCATCTACCAATTCCATCAATTTCTTGTCTTCTTCAGGAGTCCAATATCTGAAATAAAAGTTTTAAATCAGAAAGAAAATATGAAACTTTTTAAAGGTTTAAATGTATAAAAATTCAATGGGAACATCACTCTATTCAATAAGGAGAAATAGTGCATAATTTACTCTCTAGGGAAATTGTATTTCTTATAGTTTTAAAAGTCTTAGAATATTTTGCTAAATTAAAAACTATTATCAAGGAATTTAAAAATGGCGTGGTTTATTTCCATGCAATTTTGTTATCAACAATACATAGAAGTATAATTATTTTCAAACAGGAAAAACAAAAAATATTAATATTGAACAGTCTTAGAACATTAACAGTGATATTTTTAACATAATTTTTTTTTTAAATTTTTTATATGTTTTTAACTGTGATGTCAAATTTTTTTACGCTATGTTATCATTCAAACTTCAGCCATTTATGACTGTTGGCACAATCTTTTTCTTAGTTTAAACTTTTTAGTCTTTTGAGTCTGGCTATCAAGTTAAGTTTTGAGTCTGACAATAAAGTAAAAATATCTTCTTAGATGACTTCATTTATTCATTTAAAAAAAATACAGATAAAAAAACAAGATAAAAATTATTAAATTTTAAACAATAGGATGTAAATTTGTAATTCAGACTTAGTTATTTAACCTTATCTTCTATAATATGAAGATGTGATGGGAAAATAAAAACAGATTATTCTATACTCTTCTAAATATGAACACACATTTTTAAAGGAAAGTGAAGAAAAAATTTTAATTTTAAGTAAATAAGAAGACATTTTAATTATATTTATTTGATCCTTGAATTATAAACGTAAAATTTATGAAACATAAATATATCAGTAATTCCACAGTATAAGAAGAATATACTTTTAATATATAAAAAACAAAATTTGTTATTTGTTAGCTAAGTATTAAATTTAGCAAAACATATATTTTTTAAAAGTCATATTTTTTTCTAAAAATTCCAAAAAAGAGAGAGAAAAAATTATTATCTGGGAGAAACTCAAAAACATAAGGAGTTTTTATTTAATTTCCCTTACACATTTCTATCAAAGAGAAAACTACTCAGCACTTATCAAATTAGAAAAAGTTAATAATTGTTAAATAAAGTGAGAATATTGTTACATATTTTTTTCTTTCCTTTTCTAAAGCAATCATAAAGTTTACATTTAGTAGTTAATATTTTATATTTTTGGGATGGCTTCATTGACTGCATTTTGTAAAAAAAAATGGTTTCATTTTTAAAGCATAAAGATTTCATTTTTAATTAAAAACTTGGTACATTGACATGCCTCCTTACTTCTTTAAATTTCTACTTGAAAAATCTCTGAAAACTCCCTCCCTTACTATTTTTGAATGGATTAAAGCAACACCAATATAGCTTTAATTATCTTTATAAGCAAACTAACAATTAAAAGACAAAAAATTTGCAAAAAACTTTGTTTCTATACGGTTAAAATAGCGATGTGCATTATGTTATCACCCAAATAACAAGCTCTCGAAAAGCAAAGCATAGGTACAATATATTTGTTTTCTGTAACACTTTTTTTTTGTTTCAAAACCAATAAACATAAATGGCATTCTTTTGCGAAATTGTTTCTTTTTCACCCTAACCAAGGAATGGACCCTTTTTAACAGTTGAGTTGGTCAATATAAATCATAAGCATAACTGCAGTGAAACCTCCTGTTATGGACACTCCTGCAAAATGGACACCTCTCAATACGGACATATTTGTAATTCCCCGGGAATCTTCTATGAATAAATCATTATGTATATTCTCCGTAAGGCGGACACTCCCGTATCCGGACGCAGACAGTCATTTTGGCCATGAAACGTTATTTTCTATCTCTTCAAACCGGACACTACTTCTCTAAATCTGAAAAAAAAAAACTTTTTCTGCTTTAAATTGCAAGGAAAAAAATGCAACTTTTCTCTATTTTTAAAGAATGTAAATTTTTTGCCTTATCCATAACTAAAAGTACTGTTAAGCTATTTCACTACTGAACAATCAATCTTTCTCCTCAGTCACCTTGCCTTATCTTTGTAAAGAAAGGAGAGAAAATGATACTGCTCTCCTGAAATTATTCGGACAGCGGCATCTTTCGATCTTTTCATCTGGACCGCACAGGTTATGAGACCCCTCAAGTTGAAATGACATCTTAGATGCTCTCAATGCTTCTTCCCCATTAAAAATTTCTGTAATTTTTCTTATCAATTTGAAGACTGTGTTTAACACAGTTGGGATAAAAAAGAGAACAGAACTATTATCTTTGTGGTGTTCATATAAAAGAAACATTTATTCAGACACTTGATAGCTGATGAATTGTGAATAATCAACTCCATAGGTCCTCATGACTTAAGGTATGCATTGCTTTTTTTTTCTTTCTTTGAATCCTGGGAGGTTTACTTTTAAGAAGGTATTAACCATGTTCCCTATCAAATGATAGGTAGGTGTAAGGGAATGTAAACCTAATAATCAAAACCGACTGAAAACTGAAAGCTGCTACTCGGTATCATATGTCTAACTTGAGTATCTATGCTAGTAGGAAAATTATATTCATTTATCTGTAGCTACATCTAAAATTATGTATTTACATCAAACTTCTTTATATATTTTTATCTTTCTTAAAGTTTAAATAAATATCCTCGTAGATAGTAATTGTAGATTATTTAATTATTTCTACATCTTTGAAAATGTTCTAAAAAGAATTTAAGGTGTTATGTTAAACTTCATTATTAGGGTACCCTTCCCGTAAACAGACAATTTTTTCGGTCCCAAGGATGTCCGCTTAACAGAGGTTTTACTGTAGTTAAAGACTAATTATGACAAGAATAATTATGTACCATTTATTTTTTACTAATCTAAGGGTGATAAAAAAGGGACTTGAGTAACTTTGTTTGGCAATCCATAATATTCAGTACAATATTCAGACAACTACTATATTTGCATTTCAGTAAATTGTATAAATATATTTGTTGCCCTCTCCTGAGCATTTGTTGATATACATTTAAACGGTTTAGTAGTTAATTATTATTGCAGTTAGCTTACAATTCAATCAAATCAATAAAAATGAATTCAATGTATTAATTGTAAAAATTAGAAAGGTGTTGATAACATTAACTATAAAATTAAATGTTAACATTAAATTAATATAAAAAGAGAGTTATAACAAAATCAGTCACTCCCATTTAAAAAAAAATTTTAAACAATGTCATTTATTTAAAAATACCCTTTTTCTATAAATTACAGCTAAATTCAGTTATTTATGGTGAGGGAAAGGTATTTTATTAAATGAACATAAATTGAATTTAGTGCAATATTGATATAAAGCAAACTCAGTGGTGCGACAGCCCATGAAGGAACAAGGCCAACTGTACATATCCCAGTTTTCTTGACCTTGGGCTCTGAGGTGCAGATGTTCCGGTTGGGTGGTCAGTCGAATGCAGAACCCCCTGTGTTTAGTCCCCAAGGATGCTTGGTACTCATTTTATCAACCCACTGAAGTAATGAAAGGTTGAGTCAACCTAGCTCGGTCCAAGGATAAAACCCTGAACCTGTAGAACGGAAGTGCAAAGTGCTACAATTCAGTCACCGGGCGTTAAAATATTGATATATTCACTTAATAATTAAAATACTTACCTTTTAGTTAATTCTTCATTGAGATGGGTTTGATACCTTTCCAAACACTGAATAGCAGTCCTGTTGGTCTGAAAAATATCACAGACCAAAATCATATTTAACATTCCTATGGTTAAATAAAAAAGTTACAAATAATATTTAGAAATAAAATCGGAAACTTACCCCCAACTCCACTGCAATTGCATCCCAATTTCTTGCCTTATATCTATCTACTAAACGTTTTAACTTTTTATCCTCAACAGCAGAAAAAGCATCTTTGTTAACTGAATAACTAATGTAATTGTTCCACATGATTTCACATTCTTCTTCAGTTTTGTTTCCTTGCAGCTAAATAAATAACTTAATTTCAGAATATTTAATTTTCTACAAAAAAATACAGTAAAGAGAGTTATTTTATTTCAGATGCCAAAGACCATATTAATACCGTTGCACATCTTTTTATCCAGTTGTTTAGATCTTGTCAAAACAAAATGCAACTCTTAAAAGAAATTCTTAAGATTTATTTTTAGAAAATCTTAGTAAAACAGCTTACTTTTCTATAGCACTTTCCTACCAGTTAAAGTAGATTTTTGTGTACATTTTGAACATGAGTAAATAAAAAGAAAAGTCAAATATTTTTAATTGTATACAAACTAAAAATACAGGATTTGTTGAAAGAATACAAGTTTTTTTTATTGATTGCATAAACAAAATTTAAAATTATATACAATAAACAAAATAGCAAATTAATAACAATTAAAAATAATTACATTTGTTGCAGATATAGTCATCCAATCGAGTTTGCCCTTGGTATCCTCTAAGATTTCTGCTAAAGGCCTTTGACTAAAAAAAAAGTCAAATATTTGAAACAAGGATTTTAAAATATATAAATATTTTATGTTTAGAATATAGTTGATCAAACATAAACACAATTTTAAAAATAAAATAAGAGATAATTACCTTTCTTCTCTGATTTTCCTTTCCAATTTAATGATTTGCTTTTTAAGTATTTCCACTTCAAACTCTAACAAATTCTTATCTTTAATCTTATTTTTTATATAATCTCTCCTAAAATATAAAATCAAGCAATTAATTCATAACAGTTTTTATACTGACTGAAAATAAGATAAAAATTTTAAAGTAATTGTAATTTTCTTTTTGTCCATAAGACAAGCTTCATAAAGGGCTTCATAAAGGGCAAAAGGAAAAATCGAGGATGTTGTTCAAAAAAATCAGGACAATTTTTGGTGCAGTAAACATATATCACACTACTTTTAAAAAAGGCTCACAGCAAGATAAAAGGTGTAGTTCAATCTAATTCAGTTTAATTCAAATAAATTTTACCACAAAAAATAATGAAGGTTACTGTTTTTAAATTGAGAATTACTTTGCTTAGAAAAAAAAGTTATAACTGTTTCCAGTATAACTCATTCGATACTGAGTAACTGATAATAGTTAAAGGGAGATGTGGCAGTTTTGCAGAAAAAAGTGTAGGTAGAGGGGCAAATATATTAATTAATTCCAATTTTAATTTTCACAAATAAGGAGTATTTTAATGAATATTTTTTCTAATCTCATTTCATGAAATTTTAATATGTGCCTATAATCTCATTTCATGTAAGTTCTAATATGCAATTTTAAAAAGCCATATGATTTAACAAAATAAAAATACCTACTTTTCATAAAAATATTAATAAACTTCAATTCTTGACAGAGATTTGGACTATTCTTAATAAAAAAAATAAGGAAATAAAACTAGATTCCGAAAAGTGATACAAAATTTCAAATTATAATTTTTTGAATATGTGCGTGAACATTAAATTTAAATGTTATAATTATGTTTTGAGTTATAAATAAGATAAGTACAAAACGAACTCTTTCTTCACTCGTTATCCATAAAATTAGTATGGTCAACTCTAATTTTTATAACAAAAATAAATTTAACCTGTCTCATTTGAAATACAAATATATGTTTTAAATTGAATGAATATTAATTGCGATACGTGATTTTTTAATCAAGATAATATGAATCACGATGTTTGAATTTTAAATTGTGTAGAATCACAATCATTGATGTTTAAATCGCTTGGAAACAAATCATGATGTGATACTTTTAGATCACATGAATCTTACTGAGCAAATTTTAAATTCCAAGAATAAAAATTCCAATGTTTGATTTTAAAATGGTATGTATCTGAACTTCAACGTGCAATTTGTGCATGATTTGCAGTTGATATGAGGACTGGAAGATTACATGCATAACTCACAAATCGAGATTGAACTGCAGATGTATTTTGTAAACTAGGTCAAAATGAATAACCAAAATTAAGAATCGAAAAACATATCAGTCGAAAATAATGCAACTATTAATAAGAAATCCTGCTAATACAAACGTGACATGATCATGTAGAAAACTAAATGGAAACAATAAAAATATATAAGTCATAACATTTAATAGCAATTTAGAAAAGAAGAGTTTAAAATTATGAGTTAAAAAGCAATTATGAGTTAAATTATGAAGAATTCATTGCAATAAACATCCTAGCAATGACAGTAACTGATAGAGAAAAGGCCATTGCCAATAATCAAAATAAGGGAATAAATAAAGCATTTTCCTTTTAGAGTATTAAACAGGCTGATAGATGCAAGATTTATTACTATGCATTTCTCTTGATTTCTGGATAATAATACTTATGGACAGAAAAAAACAATAGTAATAATTAAAATAATAAGCTAGTTGGCACAAAACGTAATAAGAAGAAAATTAGAAAATACATTTTGCTAATGTCATTAATTTTAAAAAAAATATTAAACTACGGTTAAAATACACAATACTTACTTGGTTTTATATGGTTTAAGTACAATATTCAGAGCATTTGCAGCAACTCCTTCAATAAGATGATCTTTATCTACTTTAGTCCCTATAAAAATTATTCTTTGCTTTAAAAAAATAAACTTAATAATTTAAACCTAAAATAATAAGTAATTTCATAAACCTCATGAAATCAAAATTTAAAACAGTTTAAATTATACATAAACCTACATTATAAAGATATTAAATCAAAATTATAAAGTTTTGAAATTTCTTCAAAAACAGTTATTGGTTTTATCTTGTCTGTTTTTAGAAACCTGCTAATTTCAAAAACTAATAATAGATAATATTTAATACTATCAGGGTTGCAAAAAACCCACCTGCCCGATAAAACCCGCCCGGGTTTTACTGTGTAAAACCCACTCTGAAAAACCCAGTAAAACCCACCCTAAAGTGGGTTTTTCTAAAGATTGATTTCTTTTTTTATCCTCTGTTATATTAAAGAGCTATTCTATTGAAATATATATGTAGTTTAGCCTAAAAAAAATTAACTTCTAGTGAAGAAACTAATTGTGTTGGAGACTGGAGAGTCGCCTTGCTGGCTAGATTTGACTGAATGGCCATTGATTAGTCAGTGCCATTGATTCGCTTTCTATGCAAAAAAAAATTTCCTCAAATATTTTTTATGATTAAAATATAAATAGAAAGAAATTCTGTGTTAAAATAAGTTTCAAATGTGTGATGTATGTGAGCACATATAACAGGGATGGCGAACCAATGGCACGCGTGCCATTTATGGCACCAGGCACAATATTTTGGGCACGCCACCGATCACATTTGTTATTACACTATGAATTGTTATTACTCAAATGATATTACACTATGAAGCATATGTAACAATTAAATTAAAATTCACAAAAAGTGCACAAAATAATAAACAATTAATAAAAAATTAAAAATTATTAATAAAAAATTAACAATTAATACTAAAAAAGCAATTAATAACCATAAAAAACAAGCTAACAATAAATAACTAGCAAAAAAAAAAATTAACAGTCCTGCTTAAACTAGCATCTTACAACCTAATCTAAGTTATTTGTCTTCTAATCTGCAACAACAGCAGTCACACTGATGTTACTTTAAGTTAAATAACGCGTATAACTGAGACATTGCAAAATGTTTTTTTTTTTCAATGAAAATAGAGAGATTTGAGTTTATAGTATTTAATATTATTATTTTCCCAATAATCACAAAGTCAAAATTATTTGACGGCACGTGTATGACCTCATTAAACAATTTTTTAGAAAAAAATGGCACGTTGGTGTATAAAGGTTCGCCACCCCTGACATATAAGATTTTGCATTGTGATGTCAGAAGAATCTTTTTTCAGACTTTCACATCACTTTATTTGTATTAATTATCTATATGAAGTCAATTAATAAAATTAAACTTAATTATTAATATTAAAATAAGCTTTTTTAAAATAATGTACTTATACCTGTCCCCTCTTTTAAAAAAAACCCATAAAAACATGAAAAACCCAGAAAGGCCTTATAGAACCCAGAAAAGCCCAATAAAAGCCAGAAAAGCCCACCCGAGTTGGGTTTTTTCACAAAAACCCGGGTTTTTTGCAACCCTGATACTAATTAACACAAAACTTACAAATAATTTAGAAGAAATATTTCAACAATCTCTAATATCAATAGCTAGTATTTATGTAAAAATTGTAAAAGAATGTCCTGAAATAATGTAACGAACACTGAATTTTCAATTAATAAATATTCTTCTAACTCAATTTTTGATAATAAAAAACTTCATACATTTTGTTGATGAAATGCAAATGTAATAATACCAATTTCATTTCAAATACCTTATATACATAAAATGATTTTTAAAAAAATGCAAAATAACTTACATGGCCTAGGAGGGCAAAGATATGCAGTAACATCTTTCCTCGTTAATTTTGCATTAGTATCTTCATTATCAGGGGCAATCTAGTAAAAATAGTAAATAAAACAAAAATAAATTTAAAATATACAGGAATACTGGTATAAAAAGACTTAAATCTTAGAAATAGGTTTTGTGGTTAAAAATTTAATTACTTTCATAAAAAAATATAAAATATTATTTAATCAGTAAAATATAATTCTTCAGAAATCTCAAATAAATTAAAGTTTAAAACCTTACCACGTTGGTCACTGATTAAAATATTTGTTTCTCTGTATTCCTCAAAATATTTGTTCAGTTCAATTTTTCAAATTTTGTGATAGGTTATACAACTGGGCGAATTTATGTTTAAATGTACCTTTGGCACTGATTTAGAATATTCAGTCCTCCACAAAAGTGGTCTAAGTTATATTCCAATAATAGAAATCAATCACTCATGATTAGGGCTGCAAGTTCGTCGCGGGGAAAAAGACCCCAAATTCGCGGAAAATTTTAAAAATTTCACAAATTCTAAACATAAAAAAATTTATTATATAAATGATGCAAAAGACAGAAATTGCGCAAAAAATAAAAAAAGCTTAAAAATACACAACAAAAGTATTCCTTTGAATTTCAAGCAATATTAATATTTTTATTTAAATGAACAGAATTTTGGTAGAAAGTATTGTACATTGTCAGATTATTCTCACTTATCCTTCGTCTTTCATCACTAAATACATTTTTATACTTAGAAAACGATCTTTTCGCATCAACGCCACTTTTGCCAATTTTGGAGTGTTCGGTCTTTAATTTCCAAAACTCAATCAATTTTTCTTCACCAACGCGCAATTCCTTGACCTTTGCTTTGTAAGAAGAAATTGCTGTGAAAACTCAAACATTCTACATTCAACTTACTAGTTACAAGTCCCTACTAACTACTAGTCCCCCCCCTTCATCTAAGAAACTGGTCCATATTTAAGAAATCACAAGAAGCCGCCTAGGAAAACAATAGCATGTATAACAATTTTTCTGTCAAAGATTTGATTTATAACATTTTCCTTCTTTTGTGATTCCAATTTCTTTTGTACTCTTACTGACTTCAGGAAGGTAATTACCCTCCCTAAGTGTAGAAAGACCACCTAATATCTGATTATCTCTGAACTATTTTCATGTCATTTTGCTATTTATTCACTCCCCTAAATATCTAATCAATTTTACATGTTCAATTTAAGGTTCAGGAAAATAAAAAATTCTGTTTAATAAAAATAATAAATAAAATAAAAAATCAAATTTTAAGCACTATTCCCGCAAGTCAAGACATATGGAGAAATTCGCGGATTTTAGGGAAAAAGATGAAAATTTCGCGGAAATTCGCGCTGCGACAAACCTGTAGCCCTGGGCATAATTTATTGAAATTTCAACTCAAACATACAGGGAATCTGCGATATTTTAGATTTTCTAATTCATGACTTTCCTTGACTTAACGAAGTTACTATTTTTTCCGACAAAAATATAACAATAAATTTAACCCACTGGCGGTTAAGGAAATGGGCAAAATTGGGAGAATGTTTCTCCCCTATACACAGTTCCCCTATCAGTTAACATGGGAAAACCGGTTTTGCTATGCAGAGAAGACTGCAGGTTAAAATGCGACTTTTTACGTGCAGAACCGTCAGTGGGTTAA